CTGCCAGCTCATGAGGTACCTTGAGGATCACCAGCTGATTAGTGACCGCCAGTACAGTTTTCGTCGAGGTCGATCAGCTGGTGATCTTCTAGTCTATTTGACTCATAGATGGGCGGAGGCAGTAGAGTCCAAGGGGGAGGCATTGGCCGTTAGTGTCGAATAGTGTGCGATTGGATCACCAGCTTCCTTGCAGATCGGAGCATCAAGGTCGTTGTAGACGGTGCATGCTCCGACTACAAGCCTATTAACGCTGGTGTTCCACAAGGCTGTGTGCTATCACCAACGCTGTTTCTTCTGCATATCAATGATATGTTGCTAACTGGTAACATTCATTGCTATGCGGAGGACAGCACTGGTGATGCCTTATATACCGGCCGTGCCAATATTTCTCGGGAAAACGTCGCTGAGTACCGGGACAAACTTGTGTCTGAAGTCAAGTCTTTGCTTAACAAAGTCTCGGATTGGGGCCGACTAAATCTAGTCCAGTTCAATCCCCAGAAGACACAAGTTTGCGCGTTTACCGCTAAAAAGAACCCCTTTGTCGTATCTCCTCAGTTTCAAAGCACTCCCCTTGCTGCCTCAGCTAGTATCAGAATCCTTGGCGTCGACATATCGAATAGTGCGCAGTTTCGTGGTCACTTGGAAGGGAAGGCCAAATTGGCCTCTAAAAAGCTTGGCGTGCTCAGCAGAGCGAGACAGTATTTCATGCCGGCACATCGCTTGCAACTTTACAAAGCGCAAGTTCGGCCCCACATAGAATACTGTTCTCATCTCTGGGGCGGGGCACCCCAGTGCCAGCTCATTCCACTTAACCGCATCCAGCGCAGAGCGGTTCGAATCGTCGACGACCGAGTTCTTTCTGATCGGCTCGATACACTGGCACTGCGTAGAGATGTGGCATCTCTTTGCGTATTTTATCGCATCTATCACGGGGAGTGCTCTGAGGAATTGTTCGGACTAATTCCAGCCGCTCAATTTCACCATCGCACATCGCGACAAAACTCGCGTTACCATCCATACCATCTGGATGATTGGCGGTCCACCACTGTGCGATTTAGAAGAAGTTTTCTCCCTCGCACAACTTCTTTGTGGAATTAATTACCACCAGCGAATTTTCCGGACCGATACGACTTAGGAACCTTCAAGAAAAGAGCTTACACCTTTCTAAAAGGCCGACAACGCATCTGCGATTCCCCTGGTGTTGCAGTTGTTCATGGGCGGCGGTAGTCACTTACCATTAGGTGAGCCGCATGCTCGTTTGCCCCCTCTTCTATAAAAAAAAATCAAAAAGTAACAAAGAAACGGCCCCCAGTCCCCGGCGGCCCCGCTATTCCTAGCTACGGTGGCTACTATGGTAACGGCGGGGCAGGGGGTGCTAAGAATCTCCGGTGGAGGTTCGGTTGCCACCTGAGACGACTCGACCTGGCAACATACAACGCACGCACCCTGAGGACTGACGAGAAGATCGTGCAGCTGGAAGGAGAGATAAACAAGTTATGCTGGCATATTATAGGATTATCCGAAGTCCGAAGAGAGGGGGAAGACACGGTAATCTTCGAATCCGGCAACTTGCTCTATCACCTTGAGGGCGACCATCTGTCCCAACAAGGTGTCGGATTTATCGTCCACAAGTCTCTCGTTAACAACGTTGTAAAGATTGAGAGTGTGTCGACGAGGGTTGCGTACCTTATACTCAGAATCACCAAACGGTATTCGGTAAAGGTCATACAGGTTTATGCACCAACCTCGGCACACCACGATGAGGAGGTGGAGGAAATGTATGAGGATATCTCTAGAGCCATGCATTCCTACAATACCAAATATACGGTGTTAATGGGAGACTTCAATGCAAAACTAGGCACAAGAGAGAACGGTGAGCAGAAAATAGGGAAATTCGGAATAGGTCAACGGAACCCAAGGGGCCAGCAGCTGGCTGAAAAAATGAAGATTGACTTCATTATGACGACCAGACGACAACTGTTCAGTTATGTCTCCGTGATCGCGAGGGTGAAAACTGGTAGTGATCACCGAATGGTTAGAGGCACACTGAACCTAAACGTTAAGTTGGAGAGGTCTCGTCTGATGAAGTAACGCTCCGTCCCCCTCGTGCTCTGTTCCAAAGTCCTGAAACCTTTCAGCTCGAGTTACAAAACCGTTTTCAGTGCCTAGAAGACTGCAATGAAGTGGACAATATGAATGACAAGCTCATGGAAACTGTCCATGCGGTCGGAGCTAAGTTCTGCAAGACCCGCCGCAGAAGAACACAAAAACTCTCCGATCACTCTCTCAATCTCATGGCTGTTAGGCGGGAGATGAAGCTACATTCTTCAACAGATTTGACAGCATACAGGGAACTGAACATACAGATCTCCAAATGCATGCGGCGGGACTTACGCAACTTCAATACAGCTCGTATTGAAGAAGCGATCGAACCGAACCAAGGCTCCAAAGTCTTTGCCAGAGATCTGTCTGCCAGAAAGAGCCAATTGTCGAAGCTGAAGACCGAGTGTGGCAACATCGTTTCCGGGACACATGAGATTTTGAGTGAGATTGAGAGGTTCTATGGGCAGCTTTACACGTCATCGTTGGAGCCACACGCAAGTGTGAGTAACGATCCAAGAGCAAGTTTCATCCGATACTATTCCGAAGATATCCCGGACGTCGGTCTGAGCAAAATTAGAATGGCTCTCCAGCATCTTGAAAACGGCAATGCCCCAGGCGAGGATGGAATTACAGCGGAGCTTCTGAAAGCGGGTGGAAAACCGGTACTTGAAGTCCTTCAGAGGCTCTTTAATTCCGTCCTCCATGGTGGCATTACACCGGAGGCGTGGAGCAGAAGTGCGGTGGTCTTGTTGTCACCTCTCTTGAAGAACTACAGACTGATTTCCCTTCTGAGCCGCGTCTACGTGCTGTTTTCGAGAGTCATTACGAATCGTCTCGCGCGCAGACTTGAAGACTTCCAGCCTCCCGAACAAGCCGGTTTCTGAAAGGGCTTTAGCACTATAGATCACATACATACCCTTCGGCAAATTGTACAGAAATCCGAAGAGTACAATTTGCCACTATGTCTGGCGTATGTGGACTATGAGAAAGCCTTTGATTCCATCGAAATTTGGGCGGTGCTGCAGTCCCTTCAGCGGTGCTAAGTTGACTGAAGTGTTTGTACAGTAGAGCTACGATGGCTATCCAAGTACAGAACCAGAATACGAAACCTATCCAATTGCAGAGAGGTGTAAGACAGCGTGATTTTATATCCCCGAAACTCTTTACCGCTGCATCGGAAGACGTTTTCAAGCTTCTGGACTGGAAAGGATACGGTGTTAACATCAATGGCGAGTACATCACTCACCTTCGATTTGCCGACGATATAGTCCTTATGGCAGAATCGCTGGAGGACCTAAGCACCATGCTCAATGACCTCAATAGTGTTTTCCAACGAATAGGTCTTAGGATGAACATGGACAAAACAAAGATCATGTTTAATGTCCATTTCACACCTATGCCGGTAGTTGTTGGGAGCACTAAGCTCGAAGTTGTTGACGAGTATGTTTACCTGGGACAAATAGTCCGACTAGGTAAGTCCAACTTCGACCGTGAGGTCAATCGACGGATTCAACTCGGCTGGGCGTCGGGCGTGTTTTGTTATTCATAGCGTTGGCTTGCGAATTGTAATAATGACGAACGTTCTTAAGTGCAACGTGTGTAACATTGTGATCGACGAACTATTATCATACATACAAAACAAAGTGTCTATCATAGACGAAGAATTATTAGTGCGTATTTGTACATCGACATTTACAAGTGATGAAATCAGAAACTCTAAGAAACTTATATTTGAGTCCATCCCAACGGGTATCACAAAAATATTGCGAAAAAACAAAGGTAAAGAGGAACGCGATGTGGTGGACATTATAAATCTATTTAAATCTACAGAACCCGATATTATTCCAATTTTGTGGCTAGACAGCTTGACAAACTGCTGCCGATTTCGATAGATCACTTAGGCTGTTCCAAATTATTAAAGGACATGTTAACATTGAAAGCCGAAATTGAAGAAATAAAGTCTACGTATGCTACCCGAGATAGCGTTGACAAACTTAAGTCGTCTATTCTTCGCTTACAAAATAACCCACTGCCACCACCGGCGTCGGCGTTTAAAATCAATAGTAAAGGAGGGAGGCAACTGTGTCTACGAAAGGCTCATGTAGAGCCTTGTAGAACCTCCCGTGGAGCTCCTTCTCCTTCCATACGGTGTCCCGGTCGGAAATGCTCTGTACTGCCGGGTCTTGCCATTGCCCGTTGGCTAAAGATAGAGGGGTGTCCTTTGTCACAAAAAATAACGTCCCTATAGAATGGATCATCCGCTCTCGTCAGAAAGTAATTACGGAGGCTGCACATTTCGCGATTATGCATGGTAAGCGCGCTTAAAAAGCCGCGCCCACCATTTTTCCGCGGCAAGTACAGCCTCATTACCGACGATCTCGGATGATGCATCCTGTGGGACGTCATTATAGTGCGGACTTTTCTGTCCAGAGCGTTCAGTTCGGTCTGAGTCCACCTGAGTATGCCAAAGGTATACATGAGAACAGGCATGATCCAACCGCTATATGCGTGCGTCTTATTCACACCGGACAAAAGGCTATTAAGCACTTTGGTCAAGCGTGCATAAAACACATCGCAAACTGACCGTTTCATACCCGACTCATCTACACCGATGTTCTGTGACTTACCCAGGTATCGGTATGTTTCAGCCTCGGATAGGGTATTTATGTTGATGGGCATAGATAAGTCTTTTACTTGTTTTTTATATTCCGTGTCTTTTTCTATCTTGCATTTTTGCCATAAGGAATTTTCTTCTCCCTTGCACACTATGTAGGTCTATACGTCAGTTCATTCTAAGTCTATGCTACTAGTTAGTCCATAGGTTACTGTATGAGAGTTAGTCTGTGGAAAGTCCTCTGTGGTCTGTGGTTTTTGTGCTTGTTTAAAATTAGCTTGCTACATATATATTTATCTATGTTTAAAATTGGTGTGAAGTTCTTCAAAAATGGATATTGTTGAGAAATTAGATACAAACTGAACATAGCATTTAGTAGAGATGCATAGAAAATGATTTGTTTTGTTTACAAAATATTTTTCGAAACTAAAATCATCTGCTTAAATATTCCAAAATTGTTTAAATATTCTTTCTCGTAGTTAGTAAATGAATGACTATAGCAATGGGAGACTTAATGTTACGTTGTCCTATATGCTGTACAGAAACTTTTAATTCTAAACACAAACTTACAGAACATTTAGTGAATGTTTTGTCAAATCTAGTTTGCCCCATTTGTAATGATAAATGGTCCACTTTAGTCCATCTTATAGAACATTTAAGTCTAGATAATTGTCAGCAAGCAAAGCCTAACCCAGCTTATACTAATAAAGATGACACAGTTACTGAAATACTTCAAAATAAACAAAATTTTAATTCTGAACAGACGAATGGTGAGAATATATGTATTAATATTCTTTGGAAAAGACTGCGAAAATTCATTAAAATTATTTTATTATAGATTGCATCATTAAGAATGAAGACTTAAAAGTTCAAATACCTAAAAGTACAATCAAATTGCATGCTAGTGAAGATGATTCACAAGAAAACAAAATGTATGTTGAGTTATTAAATGAAGAATTATTAAAACCATGTCTTCAGACACAAGAGTTAAAGGTTGTCAAAGAAAGTGCTGATAGATATGTTATAGTGACTAATGAAGATTCAATATTGAACACTCACAGTAACATAGTCACTAAACAAAACAATGATGGAACTATATCTATGACTGTGAAAGGTAATATACTTTCAAATTTGTAAGTCATGTTTTAGATCTAGTTTTTAGGGTTCCGGGTATGACTTTCCATTGACGTCCGTCGAGTTGGGAGTTGATATATTTTTTATAGTAAGGTTACATTATTATAAACACACAGGCAAACATGTGGAAACGCATAGTTTTTGAGAAAAAAATTATTGATTTTTCAATATTTATGCCAATCCCCATTGACATCTGTCACGTCGGGGGTTGATATTTTTTTTACAGAAAAGTTACATTCTTATAAGCACTTACGTTTCAACATTCCGAGATGCGTACTTTTTGAGAGAAAAAAAATTAAAAGTCAACTAGTTTTGCAATATTTATGTCAATTCCTACCCAAAACTGACACTATTTTGTATTATCATCGTCAGTAGGGATGTCGATTCTTTCCGAAAAAGATCGATTTTATAAATCGATTCGAATCGTAAGCTGATGTATCGATTCACAAAAAATTGATTTCTTAAATTTCGATACTTTTTCATGTTTGCATTTATAATGTAAATATAAATCCATTTTATGAGAAAAAATCCCCTTCATCAGAAAAAAATAGGGAACTGATTAAGAGGGATTTCTGTATCTATTTTGAGACTGTAATGTCTCCCGTGCCGCGGGAAGAGCAGCCTCTACGCCTTTGCGTAACAAATCGCAGGCATCTCTCCACACCTCCGCAGCGATTTGTTTCAGCAGGCGGAGGCTGCTCCCCTTACGCGCCTCCGACTCTTTAAAAACACTAGGGGTAGGACAGACTCGTACCAGGTAGAGTCGGGGTCAATCAATTCAGTTCTTTGACAAGTTGAACCTAACCTATTTTATTTGTTATCTGCCCTAATAGGTACTGTTAAAATAAAACGAATTTCAGTAAGAGATCATTTATTATGGTATCTTTCTTTTTCTTGAACCCACCCTCTCCCCCTACCCCTTCCACCCCTGTATGCAAGTGCCGGATGTCTATAGTTTTACCCAAATCCTTCACATTATAGATAGACTCTTTTAACAGTGGACCATTCATTATTTATTGAAAAAGAATAATTAAAGATTTATTCTTATTGCTAAACTTGTCAGAGGCATTAGCAATCAAAGAAATGGTATGTACCCTAATCTTATTAGATACAGTGGAAATGCTTCTCACCTATACAAGTATTTAGTCTAGTATATATTTTCACGATGATTACACCAGTTTTAAGACCCTACAGTTGTCAAATGCCTTTGATGTGCGGCGATGACGCCGACCACGTAGGTATTCAAACGTCCAGCTTGTATGCTAGGGGTTGTCACAAAATCTATACAAATAAATAAAATTGAAGTGTCTGTTTGTAATGTCGAAATAACTGCTTTTTATTATATGCACATGAAATTATATACAATATTTATAACAAAAACACGATTTTTAAAACTTTTGTTTGTCTGTTTATTCCGGCTAATCTCCGAAATGGCTGGACCGATTTTGACCGGACTTTCACTGGCAGATAGCTGATGTCATAAGAAGTAACTTAGGCTACTTTTATTTTAGAAAAAGAAATAGGGTTCCGCACAAAAAAAATTAAAAACCTAAATTACACGTGGGCGAAGTCACGGGGCACAGCTAGTTGTAAATAAAATGATTTTGAATATTATAATACTCATTATCATTTATTAAGATTATGTACATACTTTTATGTTAAAATCCTTTATTGAACAAGATCATTTTTTATTACTTACTAGCTGGCCAGGCAGAATTTGTTCAGCTCTTTCTGACGACCCTTCCTATGAAAAAATCCTTAAATTTGCAATAAAAAATATTTAAGATCACTTATCGGGATAAAATGTATCCTATCTCTCAAGTTGGACCAAACTGCACACAGTGTGCAAACTTTCTTTGAAATCAGGTCAATAATTTAAGAGTTCATCGCGGACAAACAATGTGAGAAACAGTATGGTAGTGATCACCTCATTCCCAGAGGTTATTACCAGTCATGTACTCTTTATTAGTATAATAACTTAATAACCCTTACTAGACAATTTTAGCTTAATAAATAATTTAAACCTTTTGATAGAAAAGATCTGCATATTTTCTGGGACTTTGTTGTAAAAGCGTTTACATTGCCCCATGAAGGAATTACCCTTTGGAGTCGAGTAACTGGTATAATTAACTTGTGCTTTTTCCTAGTATTTACAGAATGTACATCACTATTTTTAATAAAACTGTTTTTGTTTTTGTGTACATACATTATTTTCTCGTAAGTACATTGAGAGGCCAAAGTTAATATATTTATTTCTTTAAATTTTTCTGTAAGGGATTCCTTCAGACCTAGGTTATAAATTGCTCTTATGGCTCTCTTTTGCAAAACAAAGATAGTTTCAATGTCAATCGCATTACCCCATAGCAAGATTCCATATGACATTATGCTATGGAAATAACTAAAATAAAGTAATTTAGCTGTTTCAACACATGTAAGGCATCTATTCTTTTTTACAGCATATGCTACAGAACTAAGTTTGCTAGCTTGTTTAGATATATTAGAGCCCTATTGAAGCTTCACGTCAACTGTAATACCGAGAAAAACAGTGGATGTATGTAATTTATTCTCTCTTGTGATTTTCAGAACCAAAATTAGAAGCTGAAGTTTTGACAAATTCAACTGAAAATGAGTCTGAAGAAAACCAAGAAGTATACAGCTGTAACACATGTGGAGTTTCCTTTTCTTCAGTTTTAGATCACATTCAAAATTATCACAATGACCAAGATGTTGTGGTTGAGGTGATTTCATGGTCTTGTTAATTTATTGTGCTATTTTACTTATTCTTATTATGGGGGGGGGGGGGGGGGTATTTATATAGTTTTCTCATCTGGTTGGGCTGTATAAATATATAAATGAAAATGATAAAGATCCATATATATCATACATACATACATACATAAGCACTCACGCCTCTCACCCAGAGGGGTAGGCAGAGATTACATACTTCCATTTGGCACAATCCTGACACCTCTCTTGCCTCCTTTACATCCATATATCTACGTATACATGCGCGTCGGTTAAGGGTGCTCGTAGCATGGCCCATTTTCAATATATCGCCAATTTGGTCGATAAACCTTCGCCTAGGGCGTCCCTTCCCGACTCTGCTGTTCAAATCACACTTTCTCTTATCACACAATTTCTCACCCTGTCATTCAGATTCGTCCCTAGCATACTCTTTAATGACTGCATTTCTACAGCATTTATTCTACTCTCGTGCTTCTTCTGCCACTACCATACATTAAATTAGGGACTAAACAGCATTATGAATTACCATACATGCCTTTTTTTGGCACAACCCGACTTTTCATATGATAGAGTTTAAAGCCCCATTCACTATACACATAGAATAACAGCGTAAAATAGCAGCTTAATGCTCAGACATACCTCAAAACCTTAAAACGAAATTGTACAACCAGTGCGTGTTGCCAGTGATGACTTACGGAACTGAGACGTGGTCCTTCACTGCTGGCCGTATGAGGAAGCTCAAGGTCGCTCAGCGAGCTATGGAGAGGGCTATGCTCGGAGTTTCTCTGCGTGATAAACTTAGGAATGAGGATATCCGCAGTAGAACCGGAGTGACCGACATAGCCCAACGGATTAGTAAGCTGAAGTGGCAGTGGGCCGGCCATATAGTTCGAAGAACCGACAACCGATGGGGAAGAAAGGTTCTCGAGTGGCAGCCTCGTACCGGTAGGCGAAGTGTAGGGCGTCCCCCCACGAGATGGAGTGACGACCTGGTAAGACATGCAGGAAGTCGATGGATGCAGGTGGCTCAGGACCGTGCTTTGTGGCATTCTATGGGGGAGGCCTATGTTCAGCAGTGGACTTGTGAATGGCTGTAATGATGAATGATGATGACACACCTCTCTTGCCTCCTTTACATCCATATATCTACGTATACATGCGCGTCGGTTAAGGGTGCTCGTAGCATGGCCCATTTTCAATATATCGCCAATTTGGTCGATAAACCTTCGCCTAGGGCGTCCCTTCCCGACTCTGCTGTTCAAATCACACTTTCTCTTATCACACAATTTCTCACCCTGTCATTCAGATTCGTCCCTAGCATACTCTTTAATGACTGCATTTCTACAGCATTTATTCTACTCTCGTGCTTCTTCTGCCACTACCATATATTAAATTAGGGACTAAACAGCATTATGAATTACCATACATGCCTTTTTTTGGCACATCCCGACTTTTCATATGATAGAGTTTAAAGCCCCATTTACTATACACATAGAATAACAGCGTAAAATAGCAGCTTAATGCTGCTGTGTTTCGTATGGTGAGTGTAGAGAACCGGAGACCCTTTTTACTGCATAAGAGGCATTCCATCTAAGTCCTCACGAGTGACAACGCATCTGCATTTTGATTCATAAACGAGGATAGTTGTAGATGTCTATGGGCCACAGCAACCACTTACCATCAGGTGGACTGTGTGCTCGTTTGTCACTCTTATCCTATAAAAAAAAACTGCGGTTGCCAACCCGCCTATCAAGCGTGGCAACTATAGCAAATATCCAGCCACTTGACAGTTGATGGGAGAGGCTTATATTCATATCAGTGGACTTTTGGTAGGTTTTGAGTTCTACTCATCTTTGCAACCTTTAATATGTATGGTAGAGTGAAAACAAAAAGTAACATATGCAAAAATATGAATGAAATGAAAACTGCATATATTGCCCCATGAAAAGTAAAAACGTAGCAGCTTACATACACGTTACTACTGGGCACAGGCCGCAGGGACGTTTTGGTCAAAAAAGTGTTCGCTTCGCTGATTCCAACACGGGATGACCTCAACTGGGAAACTTCTCACATATGCAGGATTTCTTTCACCGCCGAGAACGTGGTAAATCGACACTTCAAATAGTAATTAAAATATATGCTAAAATATATAATCATGCCTACCTACCATGAAATTTAAGTTTATTACCGCCTTTGACAAGTAAAATAAAATTAACCTTTAAGTAAAATCTCCTTTCTCTAATTAAAGTATTTTTCCGCAAGAGCCTGTTCATTTACATATTTACAGAGGCCCAATTCCCCCCCCTCCCTCTCAACATGGTAGTGGAATCACACGTTAGACTACCCCAGGAGGGTACCAGCACCCCTGGAGAATCCCTCGCTGAGCATCCATGACCATGTTATTCCACTCCTGAGCGTGGGTGCTCAGGCTGCCCCGCGTATTCTCGGGGGGGGGGGGGGGGGCAAAATTCCGCTCGCGACTAATGCTGCTCGGGGCAAGCGAAGCAATACAACCAAGGCGACCCCTGTCACGCTATCCGTGAGGACTTCATTCCAACCTTAACGCTGTCCATTACCATCTAGAAACGGCGAAGCCGGCCTTGCTCTTTTTAACCGAGACTCAAGTGTCCTCTCCGGCTGATATTTCGTATCTCTCCTACCCGGGGTACAAATTGGAGCACTCCTTTGTGCCTCGGGCTGGAGTTTGCGTGTATGTCAGAGAGGACATCTGTTCTCGACGCCTCGGCAGTCTTGAAGGTTCAGACCTGTCCATCCTATGGCTACGCGTAGACAGCGACGACCATCAGCGCGTCTACGGGTGCCTCTATAGGTCCCATAGCGGTAATGCCGAAACAGACCGACTCATTGACCACGTCCAAATGGCTACAGATTCTTTGCTACAACAGGTCTCATCCACAGAGATCGTGATCCGTGGCGATTTTAATGCCCACCACGCCGAATGGCTCGGTTCAATTTAACCGATCATGCGGGGAGATCTGTTTATGACTTTGCTTTGGCATATGGTCTCATATAACTGGTTACTTCGCTTACGCGGATTCCAGATGTGGGGGATCATACACCTTCCCTGTTGGACCTTTTGCTGACCTTTCATCCGGACGGATATCAGGTTTCCGTCGATGCTCCTCTCGGACCATTGTCTGATCCGGAGTGTGGTGCCACTCACGCTCCCCTCGCGGTTGCGTTCTGCAGGTTGCCGCCGTATGTGGCATTACAGGTCGGCGGGTTGGGACGGAATGCGGTCTTTCTTTGCATCCTACCGGGTGCAAATGGGGACGGGTTTGCTTCTCGCCGGATGATCCCAGCGCTGTTGCTGACTCTGTCACTGATGTGGTGCTATAGGGAATGGAACTATTTATTCCATCATCATGGTACCCATCGGAGGCAGATCTCAGCCTTGGTTTGGTCGCTCCTGTAAGACTGCATTACGCAGTAAGCAGGAGTGTTATCAAGCCTGGGCTGCGGCTTCGGCGACTCGGGATGTAAATACCAGCACACTTAAAAAGAAGTATAACTTCGCCTCCAGGTCCTTCAAAAGAGTTATTGCCAAGGCAAAGTCAGAGCACATAGGCTGAATTGGCGAGAAACTAGTTCGCCTTCCTTCGGGAACCCGTGCATTCTGGCCTCTCGCCAAGGCTATCCAAGGGAATTTCTGTAAGCCATCACTACCATCTCTACACAGGGAGGACTACTCACTGGCCCAAGACGCAAAAGACAAAGCCGATCTTTTAGGCTCCCTTTTTGCGTCCAACTCGACTCTTAATGACGGGGGGAAAACACCGCCGACCATCCCGCGGTATGAGTGCTCCATGCCGGATGTGCTGCTCTCACAGCGCACGGTACGCAAAGCACTCCTCTCCCTGGACATCCAGAAGTCGAGTGGGCCTGCTCCGGAGTGCTCCGGAGTTGGCACCGGTCCTAACGCGTCTTTTCCGGTACTCCTACTCCCAAGGCGTAGTCCCGAATTCATGGAAGACAGCTTTTGTCCACCCGATCCCTAAAAAAGGCGACCGCTCAGACCCGTCCAACTATAGGCCTATCGCGATCACCTCCTTGTTCTCCAAAATAATGGAATCAATTATTAACTGCCAGCTCATGCGGTACCTTGAGGATCACCAGCTGATTAGTGACCGTCAATACGGTTTTCGTCGGGGTCGATCAGCTGGTGATCTTCTGGTCTACCTGACCCATAGATGGGCAGAGGCAGTAGAGTCCAAGGGGGAGGCGTTGGCCGTTAGTTTGGACATTGCGAAGGCCTTCGATCGGGTTTGGCACAAAGCGCTTCTTTCGAAGCTCCCTTCCTATGTACTTCCCGAGAAATTGTGCAATTGGATCACCAGCTTCCTTGCAGATCGGAGCATCAAGGTCGTTGTAGACGGTGCATGCTCCGACTACAAGCCTATTAACGCTGGTGTTCCACAAGGCTGTGTGCTATCACCAACGCCGTTTCTTCTGCATATCAATGATATGTTGCTAACTGGTAACATTCATTGCTATGCGGATGACAGCACTGGTGATGCTCTATACACCAGTCGTGCCAATATTTCTCTTGAAAACGTCGCTGAGTACCGGAACAAACTTGTGTCTGAAGTTTGATGCATCATGAAACTTTGTTTAATGGTATCAGTCGACTTAATAAGCAGGTATATGACTGTCTGCCTGGCCTACCTGGGTACACCTGGTACTCCGCATACAGGTAAGTCGCAAAAAAATTTGCCCAAAAAAAAGTCTTTGATTCAAATAATAATAATGACTATCCGTCAGCTAAGTTTATAAAGAATTAAGAAAAGAAATGACAGACACTTATGAAGGGGTTTACATACGAGTAGGGGCAGACTACCCCAAAGTTGTATTTTCAAAAATTCCAAAAAAAGTGTTTGATTCAGTCTGCCATTTTTACAGCGTGTTTATTATATATAATAAAACAATCTCACAAAAGGACAGACAGTTTCTCTGGGGGTTACTAATTTAAAAATCTATACAAATAAATAAAATTTAAGTGTCTGTTTTTAATGTCAAAATATTTTTTTTTTACTAAACGCATATGATATTATATACTTACGATATTTACAACAAAAACAAAATTTTTAAATTTTTTGTCTGTCTGTCTGTATGTTTATTCCGGCTAATCTCCGAAATGGCTGGACCGATTTTGACGGGACTTTCACTGGCAGATAGTTGATGTTATAACGAGTATTTTAAACTACTTTTATTTTAGAAAAATTATTAGGGTTCTGCGCAAAAAAAAACCTAAATTACACGCGGGCGAAGTCGCGGGTAACAGCTAGTATTTAAATAAATCTTGCGTGGACAGGAGACAAATGTGCTACGGGTTGTAATGAGTGCGACAGAGAGCAACGGTCGCCGATATGTGAAAAAAGTGTTTGATTCAAATAATAATAATGACTATCCGTCAGCTATTTTGGTAAAGAATTAAGAAAAAAATGGCAGACACTTTTGAAGGGGTTGACATAGGGGCAAACTACCCCAAAATTATATTTTCAAAAAGTCCAAAAAAGTGTATTATTTAATCTGCCATTTTTACAGCTTGTTTATTATGTACAATATAATAAAAAAATATCCCAAAAGGGCAGACAGTTTCTCCGGGGGTTAATAGTTAAAAAATATTTACATTAAACTTGCGAGGTAAGCAGACGAATATGCCACGGTTTGTAATGAGTGCGACAGAGAGCGACGGTCGCCGATATGTCTTTAGTCATTCTTCGCGCTCCCATTGCGGATCACGACGTGATCTTGTATAGTTGTTACAACTAAAATGTAATATATGCATAAGCACACATAATATGACTATAATATAATTTTTTATTCTTACTTACAAATATTTATATATTTTATTCGATGAATATTTCAAGAAGTAGATAAAAGTGAAGTTTACTCAAATGTACAACAATACTTACAGCTAATGGAGATTATTTATTAGTTAGTTACAATGAAAACAATTCTGACAAAATAAAAGAAAAAATATATCTACAGCAAATATATAGATAAATACATATATTTTGTTAGTTTTCGCTTTAACTGTTACTGAAATCTGACTCTTCAGCATCGGTTGATTCGTCACTTTCAAACAAGTCGTCACTTTGATGAGAAATCAATTCATCATCTGTAAAAAAATCATTAGTAAATGACAATCATCATTCATCATCATTCATTACAGCCTTTCATAAGTCCACTGCTGAACATAGGCCTCCTCCAAGGAATGCCACAAAGCACGGTCCTGAGCCACCTGCATCCATCGACTTCCTGCATGCAATGTGACAATCAATAAAATAAAATCAATTAATGCTGACCAGTTCTGTTGGAAGTGTTATTTTCCGAAGTTTTGATAGCATCTAATACGGTTTCAGGTACGCAATCACCTTCAAACCACTTAAATTCATACGTTTAATTTTTTAATATCCATCCATTACCAGCAGGTACCAAATTAGTTAGATTAACCAAGTAAGCATTGCGCCAAACACTGGTGATGTATTGCGTACGCAAAAGATGCTGGTGTAATTCTGACTTACACGGCGGTAAATTTGAAGCATCATATCTTTGAATAGATTTTTGGAATGGTTCATTCGTATTTTTCGATTTATAAGTAGAGCAAAACTTTTGAAACCGAGCATTATTAACATCCGTACAGTTTTTTCATTTCGGAGATTAGCCGGAACAAACAGACAGACAGGCAAAAATTTAAAAAATTGTGGTTTTGTTATAAATATCGTATATAATATCATATGCGTTTAGTAAAAAAAAATATTTTGACATTAAAAACAGACACTTAAATTTTATTTATTTGTATAGATTTTTAAATTAGTAACCCCCGGAGAAACTGTCTGCCCTTTTGTGAGAATTTTTTATTATATATTATAAACACGCTGTAAAAATGGCAGACTGAATCAAACACTTTTTTTGGAATTTTTGAAAATATAACTTTGGGGTAGTCTGCCCCAATGTAAACCCCTTCAGAAGTGTCTGCCATTTTTTTTTCTTAATTCTTTATAAACTTAGCTGACGGATAGTCATTATTATTATTTGAATCAAACACTTTTTTGGGCAAATTTTTTTGCAACTTACCTGTATGCGCAGTACCAGGTGTACCCAGGTAGGCCAAGCAGACAGTCATATACCTGCTTATTGAGTCGACTGATACCTTTAAACTTTTTAGCTCTCGGACCATTTAGTGTGAATGACCTCATTAGTTTAATATAAATTTAGATTAAATAGCAACTTGCTTAACGCAAAAATATAATATGTAATCTCTTTTAGAAACACAACTACAGGTCTTTAATTTGTTAACAAAATTAAAAAAAAAGGTGAGCCTACTAATTGTGAGGCCTAACTCCAGTGGGGCGTGCGCTGTAGTGACGCGTTCAGTGTGTTATTTGAGCGTCCGCCACTTAGGACACTGTTAACACAAGAGCGTGTCTTATGGCCAAATACTGAAACGCTGCCTACTCAAGTTTAAGGAGTTTGTTGTTAAGTCTCATGGTGTCACAGTCACTTTGACTTAAAGTGATAGAGACAGCCCATCTCTGTAGCGGTCACTACCATTTTAAGTCAAAATGACTGTGACACCACTTTTAAGCTTAACGCTGCTGTGTTTCGTATGGTGAGTGTAGAGAACCGGAGACCCTTTTTACTGGCAAAGAGGCATTCCATCTTAGTCCTCACGGGTGACAACGCATCTGCATCTTGAGTCTTTATTGAGGATAGATGTAGATGTCTATGGGTCACAGCAACCACTTACCATCAGGTGGACTGTGTGCTCGTTTGTCACTCTATCCTGTAAAAAAAATTGGGCATTAGCTATGCACGCTGAGCTCCTACACTAAGGCTCCATTTTGAAACGCCCACAAATCGGGACACTGTACAATTACGATTTACCGTGTACAACGTTCTCGAGGAAAGAAAACATCGTAAGGAAACCTGTATGTGTGAGTACTACAATATTTCGAGGACAAATGGTGTCCGTTAATATGAACTAGAGTGCGGCGGACATATTATTTATAACTCATAAATGAAAAGAGTTCTATACCCAGCTGTGAGACGTATATAGGCTGTGCTTTATTTTTTTTAAGTTACATTACTTTTTGTAGTTCTGATTAACATTTATTTACAGGAACCAATAGAGGACAGCACTAATGACGCTTCATTGGAATATGAAACTGTGGAAAGTGATGACCTAGCTATCAGTGATAAACAGACCCCGAAGCGAATGATAACAGACACTGGTGATATTGTTGAAGCACCCATTTTACTAGAAGCGAGCACTGCTATCCCGCAACAATCCTTAGGTAATTATTTTTTAAGAAACGTTACTCCCACATTAGGATTTTCTCCTGTATCGTGGAGGCAGTTTACGAACATAAATTGCACGAGGACAAACATCCAGACCCGGAACAATTATTTGTAAGCCATACAAATATCTTGTTCCGTGCGGGATTCGAACCCGCGGCCCCAGCTCAACAAGTCATTGCTAAGCCGCTGTGCCACGGAGCCGTTAAATTATACAATGTTTTATTATACAATTTGCTAGTTGAATTGTGATTAATTAACATAATACCATTGTTACAAATAGTTATTAGTTTTTTTATGCTAGTTGAAGCATAAAAAAACTAATAACTATTTAAGAATGAGCCAATTTGTGTTATCTTTAAAAGGCAAGATTGACTCTTGTTGACCTTTACCAAAAATTAATTTCAAAAATTCCAAGGGCTCAATAGACATTTGAACGTACGATTTTAAATTCGCTTTGAAAAGGTTCAATTAAGAACAAAATACACATTTTGACACTGCTGCTGAAAATGACACAAGTCTGTTTTAGGACTCAGCAATTCAAAGACAATAAGTGAATGCTTCAAATTTGGAATACAATTATTGTTTAATATATAGATCAAGCAAAAATTAAAATATTTTATAATTTCGGTCCAGTTTTCGAGATACACCAACTGCATAAATAACTTTGTAATCCCATATAAATATATAGGATTACAAAGTTACATTTGCAGTGAATGAATCAGTGTACCTATATATGTATAATATAATGGAATAATAGGTGTAGATAGGTACCTAGATATAACTATCTACAAAAAGAAATGAGATGCCATCAAAAACATGTAAAAAAAGCCAAGTGTCGCAACTCAGTTCTTCTACCGTAAAAAGTTGTGAGATCCATGTAATACCAAGTCGGTTAATTTATTCAGTCCCTACTTAAGGGGCTACTCCATGCGAACAACTTTGAGCATTTGGTGTGCCGCGCCGGCTTGCTACAATATATCGCGTAAGAAATATGTAAGACGCCACCTACTGTACGAACGTAGTATTTTGGCAACATCAATAAACTATTTTATGGAAATACACACAGCGTACAGCGATAAATGTATTTTATTTTTTTTATTTGGTATATTAGTTGCATTATATTACAATTATGTATTCTCATATATTATCTAATTATGAAATTTTATAATTAATTATATATTAAAAATGAAGCATTGAGAATTGTGAGTTTAAAAGATACCTGCTATAGGTAAATAGATAGATAGCTCGCCTTTTGTACAAATATTTGGTGTGCAACAACCTGCGCCTTAAGGGTCCTTCTGTCTTAAGTTATTACGTAATTAGCTAACCTAACATCATCTTATAGTGACCATATCAATATCAAAAATCTTTTATGTTCTAAATAAATAAATTGACTTGGCAATCGCACTAAACAATCCAATTTAATATAATATGTATTACTTGAGAGGTACATTGTGTTTTCATGCGATGGCCAAGTCAATGTATTTATTTAAAATATAAAAGATTTTTAGTATTGATGTAGTGACTATAAGATGTTGTTAGGTTAGCTGATTACGTATTAACTTAAGACAGAAACTATTAATTTAATTTGCCGTGTAGTGGCTGTCAAGAATATCCACTACCCCATATCCCCATACCCCATGTCGTAAAAGGCGACAAAGGGAAACAGGCAGGAGATGGGCAGCAGCATCTTCCTGATAGTAGCCGAAATTACAATAAAAAAAACTGCGGTTGTCAACCCGCTCGCCAAGCGTGGCAACTATGGCAAATACCCCTCATGAATGACAGTAACAAAGAAACGGCTCCCAGTCCCCGGCGGTCCCGCTATTCCTGGCTACGGTGGCGACCATGGTAACGGCGGGGCAGGGGGTGCTAAGAATCTCCGGTGGAGATTCGGTTGCCACCTTAGACGACTCGACCTGGCAACGTACAACGCACGCACCCTGAGGACTGACGAGAAGATCGTGGAGCTGGAACAAGAGATAGACAAGTTACGCTGGCATATTATAGGAATGTCCGAAGTCCGAAGTGAGGGGGAGGACACGGTAATCCTCGAATCCGGCAACTTGCTCTATCACCTTGAGGGCGACCATCTGTCCCAAGGAGGTGTCGGATTTATCGTCCACAAGTCTCTCGTTAACAACGTTGTAAAGATTGAGATTGTGTCGACGAGGGTTGCGTACCTTATACTCAGAACCACCAAAGGGTATTCGGTAAAGGCCATACAGGTTTATGCACCAACCTCGGCACACCCCGATGAGGAGGTGGAGGAAATGTATGAGGATATCTCTAGAGCCATGCATTCCTCCGAAACCCAATATACGGTGTTAATGGGAGACTTCAATGCAAAACTAGGCACAAGAGAGAACGGTGAGCTGAAAGTAGGGAAATTTGGAATAGGGCAACGGAACTCAAGGGGCCAGCAGCTGGCCGACTTCATGGAGAAAGAGGGACTCTTTATGATGAACTCTTTCTTCCAGAAGCGGCCCCACAGGAAGTGGACCTGGTCGAGCCCCGACGGTTCGACAAAAAAATGAGATTTACTTCACTATGACGACCAGACAACAACTGTTCAGTGATGTCTTTGTCTCCGTGATCGCGAGGGTGAAAACTGGTAGCGATCACCGAATGGTTAGAGGCACACTGAACCTAAACGTTAAGTTGGAGAGGTCTCGTCTAATGAAGTCAACGCTCCGTCCCCCTCGTGCTCTGTTCCATAGTCCTGAAACCTTTCAGCTTGAGTTACACAACCGTTTTCAGTGCCTAGAAAACTGCAATGAAGTGGACGATATGAATGACAAGCTCGTGGAAACTGTCCATGCGGTCGGAGCTAAGTTCTGCAAGACCCGCCGAAGAAGAACACAAAAACTCTCCGATCACACTCTTAATCTCATGGCTGTTAGACGGGAGATGAAGCTACATTCTTCAACAGATTTGATAGCATACAGGCAACTGAACAGACAGATCTCCAAATGCATGCGGCGGGACTTACGCAACTTCAATACAGCTTGTATTGAAGAAGCGATCGAGCGGAACCAAGGCTCCAAAGTCTTTGCCAGAGATCTGTCTGCCAGAAAGAGCCAACTGTCAAAGCTGAAGACCGAGTGTGGCAGCATCGTTTCCGGGGCACCTGAGATTTTGAGTGAGATTGAGAGGTTCTATGGGCAGCTGTACACGTCATCGTTGGAGCCACACGCAAGTTTGAGTAACGATCCACCAGCGAGTCTTATACGACACTATTCCGAAGATATCCCGGACGTCAGTCTAAGCGAGATTAGAATGGCTCTCCAGTATCTTAAAAACGGCAAGGCCCCAGGCGAGGATGGAATTACAGCGGAGCTTCTGAAAGCGGGTGGAAAACCGGTACTTGAAGTCCTTCAGAGGCTCTTTAATTCCGTCCTCCATGGTGGCATTACACCGGAGGCGTGGAGCAGAAGTGTGGTGGTCTTGTTCTTCAAGAAAGGCGACAACGCTCTCTTGAAGAACTACAGACCGATTTCCCTTCTGAGCCGCGTCTACGTGCTGTTTTCGAGAGTCATTACAAATCGTCTCGCGCAAGACTTGACGACTTCCAGCCTCCCGAACAAGCCAGTTTCCGAAAGGGCTTTAGCACCATAGACCACATACATACCTTTCGGCAAATTGTACAAAAGTCCGAAGAGTACAATTTGCCACTATGTCTGGCGTATGTGGACTATGAGAAAGCCTTTGATTCCGTCGAAATTTGGGCGATGCTACAGTCCCTTCAGCGGTGCCAAGTTGTCTGTCGGTATATCGAAGTTCTGAAGTGTTACAAGTGAAGTTTGTACAGTAGAGCTACGATGGCTATCTGAGTAAAGAACCAGAGTACGAAACCTATCCAATTGCAGAGAAGTGTAAGACAGGGTGATGTTATATCCCCGAAACTCTCCACCGCTGCATTGGAAGTCGTTTTCAAGCTTTTGGACTGGAAAGGATACGGTATTAACATCAATGGCGAGTACATCACTCACCTTCGATTTGCCGACGATATAGTCCTTATGGCAAAATCGCTGGAGGATCTAAGCACCATGCTCAATGACCTCAATAGTGTCTCCCAACGGATAGGTCTTAAGATGAACATGGACAAAACAAAGATCATGTTCAATGTCCATGTTACACCTATGCCGGTAGTTGTTGGGAGCACTAAGCTCGAAGTTGTTGACGAGTATGTTTACCTGGGACAAATAGTCCGACTAGGTAACTCCAACTTCAACCGAGAGGTCAATCGACGGATTCAACTCGGCTGGGCAGCGTTCGGGAAACTACGACACATCTTCTCGTCAGACATTCCTCAAAACCTTAAAACGAAATTATACAACCAGTGCGTGTTGCCAGTGATGACTTACGGATCTGAGACGTGGTCCTTCACTGCTGGCCGTATGAGGAAGCTCAAGGTCGCCCAGCGAGTTATGGAGAGGGCTATGCTCGGAGTTTCTCTGCGTGATAAACTTAGAAATGAGGATATCCGCAGTAGAACCAGAGTGACCGACATAGCCCAACGGATTAGTAAGCTGAAGTGGCAGTGGGCCGGCCATATAGCTCGAAGAACCGACAACCGACGGGGAAGAAAGGTTCTTGAGTGGCAGCCTCGTACCGGTAGGCGAAGTGTAGGGCGAGCCCCCACGAGATGGAGTGACGACCTGGTAAGACATGCAGCATTTATTACGTGGTAGAGCCACGCTGCAGCTATACTAGTAGTATAGTTGTAGCACGAATGGGTCGGCTCGACCGGGGAAGGACCACGCTCTCACAGAATACCAGCGTCAAATAGCAGTTTAACACTGCTGTGTTTCGTATGGTGAGTGTAGAGAACCGGAGACCATTTTTACTGGAAAAGAGGCATTTCATCTTAGTCCTCACGTGTGACAACGCATCTGCGTTTTGATTCGCAAACGAAGATAAATGTAGATGTCCATGGGCCACAGCATCCACTTACCATTAGGTGGACTGTGTGCTCGTTTGTCACTCGATCCTATAAAAAAATGCAGGAAGTCCATGGATGCAGGTGGCTCAGAACCGTGCTTTGTGGCATTCCTTGGGGGAGGCCTATGTTCAGCAGTGGACTTGTGAAGGGCTGTAATGATGATGATGATGATAAAGACAGAAGGACCCTTAAGTATAACTTACTGAATAAATTAACCGACTTGGTATTACATGGATCTCACAACTTTTTACGGTAGAAGAACTGAGTTGCGAGACTTAGCTTTTTTTTTACAAGTTCAATTTTTGATGGCATACAAGATTTCAAATTAAAGTTTAAATTTAAAACTGACCGCGCAGGCGCAACGCGCTTAAATCAACTGCGCATGCGCGACTCTACTATCTCCCGCGCATGCGCGAAGACATACAGTAGTACACATTTTCTGTTTAGAATGGCTTCTCTAGTACGTAGTACATATAACTCAATGAGATCAACAGACGTTATGTACAGTACTGGGGGTAAACAGAATCAATCAGTCATCCTTGTCTTGTTGATCATAATAATCGTGGTAGTGGAACAAATGATTGTATGGCCTACAAATAATTAGTTGGTGTTCTAAGTCTGGATATTTTGACCAAGTATAATTTATGTTTATGGAACGTCCACAATAAAGGACGCACATAATAATGCAGTGTATTGTATTGTCAAATGCAATTCTATTTCAGAACAGAGTGAAGTAAAAACATTTGTTATGCCACTAAAGGAGGATGCGGAGAAACAAGACAAGTCAGCGCCTACGCAACGTTTTGTACAAATCGATAAAGTTTTTAACAGCGTTGTTAAGGAAATTAAAGCTTCCGATGGTAAGAAATCAATTGAATCACTCAATGAAATATTATGAAATCTCTTTATTATTGATTGTAAGAAATTAAAATTTCATTTGTCAAATATCTTTATATATACATTTTTTTTATATATGCTAAAAAAATGCTTAAAAATTAGGTATCTTTGACCGAAGGAGAAACGACGAAAGATACTCCACAAGAATTCTCTTTTTTATGTGTAGTTTGCAAAAGAAATGATTTATCGGTAACTGCAGCATGTTTCCATAATAAAGAAAACCAGATTATATTGGTGTACACAAGTTTTAGTTGTTTTGCAAAGGTAGTATATTAACCTATTTATAAATATTACATTTGACAAACGAGTTTTTAATTTCAAGTTGAATAAATGAAACCGATTATTCTGCTTTCGATAATATTACGGGATTATATTTTTTTCAGATAGAAATGGTCTTTACCATAAAGTAATTATGAAAGAAATGCAAACGACAATGGGCAACAAAATAAAAGTGTACACTTGCGTATTCTGTAATGTTTATGTTACGTCTTTATCAGATTTCAAATCTCACCCTTGTAAAACAAGTAAGTATATTAATATATTTAGTTTGAGTTAGGTAAAATCATTGGTTGAGCATTGAATCGTCGCGTCGCGTCGTCGTAAGTATGCTAGGGGATTGTCACGAAATTAGAAATAAAATAACTTTGGATATTATAATACTCATTATCATTTATTAACATTATGTACATACATAAAAGTTCAAAACGTTTATTGAACAAGATAATTTTTATTACTACACGAAAAACACATTTGCAAGTGTTGCACAGCCAAATATTTTCGTGACACTTTCTTTTTATAGATGTTTTCAGTTTTCGATTATTAAGTTTAATTATATAGTGTATTCGCATTCGGATAAACAATTTTATCAAATAAAGAAATGAGGGAAATAAGCAATGCCGTCATTTGAATTCAATTTACTTAGTAACTCATAGAACCATAACTGTAATTCACCGTTATAGACATTATATTTTTCGAAAACTGCGCTTAAAATTAGTTAAATAAGTACTATAAAACACGCTCGCGCCAATCGCATGTATTGTATGTTACTAATACTTATATATTTGCATGTTACTAATACTTAAATAAATATTTTTAAAAATTTTGTGTCTGTTCGAGCTTCGAGCTTGTCTTCAGAATGACTGAATCGATTGTGATGAAACTTTACGAAGAGATAGAGAGAAATGTTAGAAGGGATCTAGGCTATATATATATATATATATATTATCCGAAAAACTTGAAGACTTTTTGGAAAACGAAAAATAGATAAAATAAATAATGATCTTCGATTTTCTTAAATATAAATAACGCCGCATTAATAGATCATATCGCTTGTCTATAATATGTATAAATAAACTATAGTACTTGACCACAATCCTACCTGATAGTAGAGGTGACGCAGACACAAGTGGTAAAATTAAAAATTATGTACAACCGACTTCAATATAAATGTAAAAATGTAGTCGAAGTCAATTAAATACGCATTATTAAAGATAACTCAAAAAGTACTGCTCAGAACTTGATCAAATTTGAACACATGAGAAGCACCAGCTTTGAAATAAATAAAGAATCATTAAAATCGGTTCACCGGTAGGTTAGAATGTTTTTTAAAGACATGGACTGACATGACATGGCTTCAACTGTGATTCGTACTTAGAATTTGCAAGTAGCTAAGTACTCTATTGAGCGGGGTGTTAGTTTAATTATACTGCTAAGACTAAGAAGCTAAAGCAGTTTTTATTTTAATGGCGTATATGCTTTTGTTTTGCAGTGAAATATCCCTGTCCACACTGTCCAGTTGGCTACGAAAATTCAAAATCTCTTTGTGCACATATGAAAGTACATAAATCTAAACAAGGTATTAGTTTACTTCATCTTAATGCTATGTTTGAATAACTAACATAATATCTGCCACCGTCGGTGTCACAATAAGACTTTTTTTTATTTATTTAGGAGAGGGGGCAAACGAGCATGCAGCTCACCTGATGGTAAGTGACTACCGCCGCCCATGAACAACCGCAACACCAGGGGAACCAGGGGAATTGCAGACGCGTTACCGGCCTTTTAAAAAGGAGTACTCTTTTCTTGAAGGTCCCTAAGTCGTATCGGTCCGGAAAAATCGCTGGTGGTAAACTATTCCACAAGGAAGTTGTGCGAGGAAGAAAACACCTTCTAAATCGTGGTGGACCGCCAATCATCCAGATGGTGTGGATGGTATCGGGAGTTCTGCCGCGATGTGCGTTCATGAAATTTGGCGGCTGGGATTAATCCGAACAATTCCTCAGAGCACTCCCCATGGTACATGCGAAAGAAAATGCAAAGAGATGCAACATCTTTTCGCAGTGCCAATGAGTCGAGCCGATCGGAAAGGACTCGGTCGTCGACGATTCGAGCCACTCTGCGCTGGATGCGGTCAAGTGGAAGGAGCTGGCACTGGGGAGCCCCAGCCCAGAGATGGGAACAGTATTCCATGTGAGGCCGAACCTGAGCCTTGTAAAGTTGCAGGAGTTGAGCTGGCATGAAATACTGTCCCGCTCTGCTGAGCACGCCAAGCTTTTTAGAGGCCAATTTGGCCTTCTCTTCCAAGTGACCACGAAACTGCACGTCACTCGATATGTCGACTCTGAGGATACCGATACTGGCTGAGGCAAGAAGGGGAGTGCCTTGAAACTGAGAAGATGCGACAAAGGGGTTCTTTTTAGCGGTAAACGCGCAAACTTGTGTCTTCTGAGGATTAAACTGGACTAGATTTAGTCGCCCCCAATCCGAGACTTTGTTCAGCAAAGACTCGACTTCAGACACAAGTTTGTTCCGGTACTCGGTGACGTTTTCCCGAGAAATATTGGCACGGCCGGTGTATAGAGCATCACCAGTGCTGTCATCCGCATAGCAATGAATGCTGCCGGCTTGCAACATATCATTGATATGCAGAAGAAACAGCGTTGGTGATAGCACGCAGCCTTGTGGAACACCAGCGTTAATAGGCTTGTAGTCGGAGCATGCACCGTCTACAACGACCTTGATGCTCCGTTCTGCAAGAAAGCTGGTGATCCAATTGCATAATTTCTCGGGAAGCCCATAGAAAGGGAGCTTCGAAAGAAGCGCTTTGTGCCAAACCCGATCGAAGGCCTTCGCAATGTCCAAACTAACGGCCAATGCCTCCCCCTTGGACTCTACTGCCTCCGCCCATCTATGGGTCAGGTAGACCAGAAGATCACCAGCTGATCGACCCCGACGAAAACCGTATTGGCGGTCACTAATCAGCTGGTGATCCTCAAGATACCGGATGAGCTGGCAGTTAATAATGGATTCCATTATTTTGGAGAACAAGGGGGTGATGGCGATAGGCCTGTAGTTGGACGGGTCTGAGCGGTCGCCTTTTTTAGGGATCGGGTGGACAAAAGCTATGTTCCATGATTTCGGGACTACGCCTAGGGAGTAGGAGTACCGGAAAAGACGCGTTAAAACCGGTGCCAACTCCGGAGCACACGTCCTCAGCACAATTGGGGGGATTCCGTCAGGCCCACTCGACTTGTGGATGTCAAGGGAGAGGAGTGCTCTGCGAACCGAGCGCTGTGAGAACCGCACATCCGGCATGGAGCACTCACACCACGGGATGGTCGGCGGTGTTTTCCCCCCGTCATCAACAGTCGAGTTGGACGCAAAAAGGGAGCCTAAAAGGTCGGCTTTCTCTTTTGCGTCGTGGGCCAGTGAGTCGTCCTCCCTGTGCAGAGATGGTAATGATGGCTTACAGAAATTTCCTTGGACAGCCTTGGCGAGAGACCAGAATGCACGGGTTCCCGAAGGAAGGCGAACTAGTTTCTCGCCAATTCTGCCTATGTGCTCTGACTTTGCCTTGGCAATAACTCTTTTGAAGGACCTGGAGGCGCCCCCATGGGTAGGAAGCAAAGAAAGACCGCATTCCGTCCCAATCCGCCGACCTGTAATGCCAAACACGGCGGCAACCTGCAGAACGCAACCGCGAGGGGAGCGTGAGTGGCACCACACTCCGGATCAAACAATGGTCCGAAGAGCCAAGAGGGGCATCGACGGAAACCTGATATCCGTCCGCATGAGAGGTCAGCAGAAGGTCCAACAGGGAAGGTGTATGATCCTCAACATCTGGAATCAGCGTAGGCGATGTAACCAGTTGTGTCAGACCATATGCCAAGGCAAAGTCATAAACAGATCAACCCCCATGATCGGTTAAACGTGAACCGAGCCATTCGGCGTGGTGGGCTTTAAAATCGCCAAGGATCACGATCTCTGCGGATGGGACCTGTTGTAGCAGGGAATATGTAGCCATTTGGACGTGGTCGATGAGTCGTTCTGTTTCGGCATTACCGCTATGGGACCTATAGAGGCACACGTAGACGCGCGGATGGTCGTCGCTGTCTACGCGTAGCCAAAGGATGGACAGGTCCGAACCTTCAAGACTGCCGAGGCGCCGAGAACAGATGTCCTCTCTGACATACACGCAAACTGCAGCCCGCGGCACAAAGGAGTGCTCCAATTTGTACCCCGGGTAGGAGAGATACGAAGTATCAGCCGGAGAGGACACCTGCGTCTCGGTCAGAAAGAGCAAGGCCGGCTTCGCCGTCTCTAGATGGTAGTGGACGGCGTTTAGGTTCGAGTGAAGTCCCCTGATGTTGCAGAAATTCACGGATAGCGTGGCAGGAGTCGCCTTGGTCTTGTTGCTCAGTTTGCCCCGAGCAGTTATTGTGTTGAGCGGAATTTTGCCCCCCCCCCTCCCCCAGAATACGCGGGGCAGCCTGAGCACCCACGCTCAGGAGTGGAATGGCATGGATGCTCAGCGAGGGATTCTCCAGGGGTACTGGTACCCTCCTGGGGTAGTTTATGATGTAATTCCGCTAACATGTTGATGGGGGGGGGGGGGGGGGATTGGGCCTCCGGTCACTTGCACTCACCAGACGAAACGCGGAAGCAGAGCTTCCACTTCACGCCGGTATTCTGTGAGGTCGTGGTACTAACCCGGCTCGAGCCGGCCCATACGTGCAACAGCAAAAGCTGCTGCGTGGCTCTACCACCGTTAAACAACGTGACAACCCATCTGTGGCTTTCTTTATTTCACACACACAGTTGCCCTTACCATCAGATGGACTGTAAGTCTGTCACTTCGGTTTAATTTAAAAAAAAATACTGCTACTATTATTGAATAATATTTTCGAAAGGCGGAAGATTAAACGCATATTTTAATTTTCAGATCAAAATTTTGAGGCCATTGTATCGTTTGAATGCGAGATTTGTTGTACAGTCTTCCGAACTAGTAAATCACTGAAGCTTCACAAGCGGATGCATGATCCTATTAAGTGAGTAAAAATTAACAAACAAACAATTATAAGTCTTGGCTAATAAGGAACAAGAACTGACTTTCTAAAACTTTATTTGAGTGATATAAATTTTTACAATAAATTTAAAATTTTGTACAGCCGACTTCAATATAAATTATTAAGAATAACTCAAAAACTGTTGTTCTGACCTTGATCAAATTCATATGGGACCACATGTGAAGTACCAGTACCAGAATCATCGAAATCGGTTCACCCAGTAAAAAGTTATGAGGTAACACACATAAAAATATACAGTCGAATTGAATACCGTCTCATTTTTGAAGTCGGCAGAAAAAAAGGTCATTCGAAGAGGTTCATATTTAAAGAACATATTTATGACCAAACATTGTAAAATTTAAATTCAATATAATTTCGACAGATTCTGATTGTGCTGCATAGGAACTTTTTTTTTAAATACAAGCACTTATTTTTGGACTGTATTTTATCCGATTTAAAATATGGGGGAATGTTAATTCGATATCTTCGTCTATTCTGAACTGATTGTAATGATTCATTATTTTTTGAATAGGCTAGCATAAGTCACGGAATCTATCATGGCATATGCTTCTCTCTCCAAAATAAAATTCTACCACACTGAGAAGATATGCCTAAATCGTCACGCTTGACAGGTAGATTGACCATAGCTGTGCCAGAAGTCTGGCACTTATATAATACTGCTAGAAGTCTGGCACTTATATAATACTGCTACAAGTCTGTCACTTATATAATACTGCTAGAAGTCTGGCACTTATATAATACTGCTAGAGAAGTCTGGCACTTATATAATACTGCTAGAGAAGTCTGGCACTTATATAATACTGCTGTTAGTCGCCGGTCTGGTTATTTTACGTCTGGCGTAAACGAGATCTCATTTTTACACGCAAAATACGAGCTTAGAAGTATAGTTGGGGAAAATAACCCATCGTAATCTAGTAAATCTATACAGCCTTCTATCGAAGCTATAAGATTTTTGCATTAAAACCTTTTTATAATAATTGCCATAAACAGTTGCATCCACAGTTTTATGCTTTGGCTTTGATCATAGTCAGCGGCAAAAGCAAAAAGCATATATAAATAATTCTCCATCACAGGAAATACTACTCTATTACTTGCTTTATGTTTCACCACATTTCCTAAGTGTTGTGTAGTGGCAGTGTAAGAATATACACTATCCCATGTCTCGTTCGTAAGAGCGGACACGGGGAAACTGAAACGAAATGGACAGCAGCATATCTTTCCGATAACAACTAAAAATGATAAATAATTTGCAGTTGCCAACCCGCGTGTAAAATCATATATATGAGATAATCTATGGGGATCTGTGGACTTTTGATATGATGTAATGAACAAATGAACATTTTCTAAGGTGTCTCGTTTTGGTATAAATACCCATTTACATTACAGTCCCTTATTATATTGGGTTATCCACCAAGATCCAAGTCTCCTTTTCTCAATCGAGGTTATTACTTGTCTTGCATCATAGCATATTTCTTTTTCTTCTGTATAGCATTTTAATAGTTTAATGCGTTGTCATTTATTATCTATTCTGTATAGATCTTGTACAAAAGAAGCCAATTGGTTTCTTTCGTCCTTTCAGTGAGCAGCGACATACTTCGACAGTTAAATTTATCAATGTCGTCTGAAATATGATCAGATTAAGTCAGAAAATACATTCGGAATTCTAATTTCAATCTAATTTAATTTCCAATTCCAAGTCAAACCTTAGCATAGCTATTACAGTTTGAAGTAGTCAGTTCGACAAAACAGCAATTTCATAGTTAAACACTTATATTTCTATAAAACTATAAAGCATTCTACGGTACGACCGGTATCTGGATGAGTTATTATATATAAATATATTTAAGTAAAGTAATCGATATCAGTATTTTTAGAAGTAAAGATGACAAACAAACACAGTGCGCCTGATGGTAAGTGGATGCTGTGGCTCATAGACATCTACATTTATTCTCGATTAAGAAACAAAATTCGTATGCGTTGTCATCCCTGAGGATTAAGATGTGGAATGCCTCGTTTCAGTTTCGTTCCAGTAAAAAGAGTCTCTCTCTCTCTATTCTCACCATACGACTATTTTATTCTTACTTCGGTAGAGCCGACCCTTTCGTGCTACGACTAATATAGCTGCTGCATGGTTTTACCACATATAAACCGTTGGTGATATACTTCTTGCTATTTGGTGGTAGTTTTCGTCTAAAATTGCAAAACATGGTAGAGCAGATTAGTAACTGCTCTTCATTACTCATTCACGATATGCTCCAGGTCTTGCTTCTAACACATTTCCATTTTAGTCGAAGTTTAGATAATATTTATAAAACAAAAAATTCAATTCCTAAGAAGCAGTAAAGAACACCGTTAAAGAGTTTATCGATCCTCGTGTAGCGGACTTTTATAGCAAGGACATAAACTAACTGGTCATTAAATGACAAAATTATGTTTATAGTTACGAATATTCTGATTTATTGATATATTTTATTTTCTATTTTTGGTATTTTTTTATTTCAATTATTAGGAGTGAACCTGTCCTGTGTCACATTGCGGTGTAGCTGTTGCTTGCATACTCAGTTATGGTGATATATTGCGTTTATTTCCAATGTGTTCCATGAATATTTTATAAATTTGTTACTAACAAATGTTCATTTATATAAATAGTTTTGAGAGTATTTCCTAGGACTTAATTTTATGATACAAAACGGCAATTACATGGTGATACTATCCATCTGATTCTAATGCGTCCTTTTAAACAAATATATTAACATATTATGTAGATATGTTTATACGTCACGTAACCAAATAATGTTTTTTCTCAAACAGAGAGAATTTTTTTATTGTTCATTAAATAATTAATTCGTATTAAATAATTATCAGGTCACGCCCAATCGAGCCTCCGGTAGAGACAATTGAAGGTAACGCAGCCAGTGAAGATAAGTACATATGTCCGATATGTTTCAAATTAATACCGGAAGACTATCGCACCATACACGAGAACTCGCACAACAATAGCAACAAAATGAACTGCGACATTTGTAACAAGAAGTTCCACTCAAAGGAGTATCTGAAGATGCACATGAGTGTACATAATATGGATAAGGTGATTGTAATATTTATTTACATTGATTTTTGTGGTTTGGTTTGAAATTATTATTTCAGTGATTTCTTACTGTAAAGAATTTTCAATAAGTTTGAGAAAGGTAAAATTTTGTCACTCACTCCGCACTTAAGTATACTGTTAAGTGCAGAGTGAGTGATAAAATTTTATTTAAAAAAAAATTAGCAAGCCTTTCAGTAGTCGCATATGGTATGTAGCATCTGACATCTCACCGTGGTAATAAGCAACATTAACATTATATCCTGTAAAAGATTATTCAGATATTATTTATTTTTCGTAACCGGGAATAATTATGTTTAAGTATTTTATTTTATTAACACTAGGAGTAATGCAAAATTTTATTGTAGATACTTATTTTTGTTCTTAAATAGTCCAATTAGAGTAAAATATAATATCCATAAAATTTCTTTACATCCTAATTAATGACTTGATATGTGAACATTAAAAACTCACGTGTAGCGAGCGCACTCATTGATCAAATCAAATAGTGCGCGATCATTGGTCAAATCAATTAGCGCGCGTTCCTCCGGCTTCCTGGTACACACTTCCGTCCCTTTTCACGAAATTACTCCCACAGATTGCAGGAAAAGAGAGGAAAGATGTTATACATCAAAAAGTAGGCGTTTACATTTTTAGAGTTTGTTTCAAGTGCATACTGAAAATAATTTTTCGGCTAAATTATAAATACGTAATATTGTGAAACAGGTTGTTTGGTTATTTATAAAACTATATAACAATAGAAATAGGTACTATATAAAATATGCCACATAACGCGTTTGACGCTAATGCGCTTTTGTATTAAGGTACTGGCACATATGGCCCTAAGTTCGCATCTGATCCCGTCTGCATATTGAGTTACTAAAGCTAGAAAATAATTACGGATTGCAATTTTTTTATATTGTTTTTGATTAAATCTTTTTAATATTATGATCACATCTTAGAAATAGTTTAATAAGTAGAAATAATCCCGCTGGAACATCTTGCTAGTTCTTCCCAGGACAGAAGTACTTTCCGAACCAGTGGTAAATAAAAAAAATTGTCATTCAATAAGTATGTAATAATCTATATTGAATAAAAAATATTCTGTTCTAAGAAGCTTATTCTTTTACATTTTAAAATCACTTATCACTTATTTTGATGTTACTAGTAGTTAACAACTAGTTGTACATTGACTAGTTTTTTTATAGAATAAGGGTGACAAACGAGCACACAGTACACCTAATGCTAAGTTAATGCTGTGGCACATAGACTGCGTTTATCCTTGATTAAGATTCAAAATGCAGATGCGTTGTCACCCCTGAGGACTAAGGTGGAATGCCTTGTTTCCACTAAGGGTCTCCGGTTCTCTACACTCACCTACAGCAGCATTGAGCTGCTATTTTACGAGTACGCTGGTTTTGTGTGAGAGCGTGGGCCCACCCGGTCGAGCTGACCCATTGTGACTCTGCCACGTTTAAGTACATGTAGGTAATAAAAATGATTTTTTTTTGCTTTTGTATAAACGCATAGTTTTTTTCAGGTAGTAATTGGAAAACAAGATAAATCTCTTCCTTACACATGTTCATATTGTAATAGAAAATTCGCAAGGCCGCATGAAAAAGTCAAACACGAAAGGATACATACAGGTATGTTAGATGTTAATGGGTCTCGTATATGCAAAAAAAATAATAAGGGTGCCGGGGTGATGCTATTCTGGAACTTCGTAATTATGTTATCCTGATAAAGTTAAAGTTACATCCTGTATACAGCCCACTGCTGGACACAGGCCTCCTCTCATTACTGAGAAGTTTTTAGGGCAAGGAAATGACCGCCGCGCTGCCCCAATGCGTGTTGGCGAACTTCACATGCTTCGAACAATTTTTTTCTTATTTCTCAGACATGCAGGTTTCCTCATAAAGTTTTCCTTCACCGCCGAGCACGTGGCAAATCAAAAAAATTGCAATTAACAATTTCATTGGTGCCGGTGATTGAGCCCGGGTTGCTCGCGAACTGTGAGATTTACAGCGAGCGCTTTGTAAAAAGTAAAAAATAAAAGTAACAGCCTGTACAGTGCTACTGCTTGGCACAGGCCTCCTCTAATTTTTGAGAGGGTATAAACAATAAGTCCGCCGTATTGCTCCAGTGTGTGTAGGCAGACATCACACTGAAATATTTTATTTCTCAGACATCGGCTTCTTCACGATGTTTTCCTTTACCACTACGTAGTAAATTGCTCTTAAAGCCACCGGCAAAGGTTCTAACACAGGTTTCTCGAATACCATGAAATTTACAGTGAGTGCATACCCCCTGTGTTAACACGGTTCTTTACTATTATTTAACTGACTTCTATTACTTTACTTCTATCTTAATTATAAAGCTTGACACATGCGGTAAGATTGATGTTACACTCAGATGCAGTTTTAGAATGGCTACCACATAACTATCCTGGATTAGACCTAAACTCTAACCCAAGACCATCCATACAGTGGCCACTTGAATACTATATATAGATCACTTGGTCAAAATTTGTTCACAAAATGCATAATATTAAGTAACTGTAATGTTTGGAAAAAAATAGGTTAATGATCTAGCTATATTGATAGTATGTTTAAAGTAACAAGTTTCATGACAAAGCCTGCTATAGTACTAGATATAGTGTTATTACGTTTTAATTTTTGTTTATTTAAGCGCTTAGACTATATTAGTAACATGTGTTATATGTTTAAGGTGAAAAACCTCATACATGCGAGATCTGCGGGAAAGCTTTCCGTGTGTCATACTGCCTCACGCTTCACATGCGTACACATACGGGCGCACGTCCGTACGCCTGTTCGCATTGTGGTAAGAGGTACGTAATTATTCAAAATTATATTACAATTAATATAATTATTAACTGGTTGACTTTTATTGCTATTAATATTTAGTAAGATGATCAAGCGCCTAAATAAGCTTACAAAATTTTAATATTTCTTTGGTTTTCAACCAGCGATTAATCAAAAAACCTGTCGATGCGTTTTTTTTTTGTAATTGACAACAGTGATTGTAGTTTGGAAGGATATTGACACTTTTCATGAGGTTATACTATGCTGTAACTCAACACTCGGTGTGTCTCGTAAATGGATCAGCATAACTAGATAATTAAAAATTTTGTACAGCAGATTTCAATATAAGTTATTTAAGAATAACTCAAAAACTTGGTCTGACCTTGATCGAATTCATATGGGACCACACGAGAAGTATCAGCTTTCATATAAAAAAAGAATCATCGAAATCGGTTCACCCAGTACAAAGTTATGAGGTAATACACATAAAAAAGACACACAGTCGAATTGAGTACCGTCTCCTTTTTGGAAGTCGGCAGAAAAGGACCACACATGGTACACCAGAATTAAATGGCAGCAGTTAGCTGCAATTAGCTGCTACTTAATTCTAGTATTAATTGTAGCTAACTGCTGTTACTTTATTCTGACTAACTTGAAAACAAGAGTTTTTTTTAATTATATGGGTTACAAACAAGCACACAGCCCACTTAATGGTAAGTGGATGATGTGGCCCTCGGTTAAGGAACAAAATGCAGATGCATTGTCACCCCTGAGGGCTACACTCTTCAAACGAAATACAATTCTGCTATTTTACGCTGATATTGTGTGAGAGCGTGGTCCTTCCCCGGTCGAGCCGACCCATTCATGCTACACCCATTATATACGCGATGGTGTGGCGATTTTAGGACGTAGACTGTGTCTATGATCTAATGCATGCCAGAGAGGTTGAAAATTTAAAAAAAAAATGGCGAAAAATATCGTTGTCTTATTATTTGATACTGAAAGTATTTTAGGATATTGTTATACAGTGAAACCTAGATAACTGGGACATTAAGGGACCCGCAAATTTGTCTCACTTATGGTAGGTAGAGCTATTCCCCTTACCCAGTATCTCAGATATCCAGGTATAAATAAATATCTGTCCCATTTACAGAGGGTTCCATTAATAGAGGTGAGAATAGAGGTTATTTCAATTATAGATGTGCGATAATTAAATAAAATAACGTATTTTATTTAACTATCGCACATACTGTCTACAATACAATACAAAACTGGAGGTCACATTTACGCAATTAGTCAAGTGATTTTTCGGAATTTCAGGGATTTTTTTTAACATAGGGAATTTGCGGGTAGAATAAGAATTAGTAATCAAAACGGTACACAAAATATAGTCTCGGTAAAAGAGGTAAAATATACTCGTTGTCTGAATTATAGAGGTAATCGAAAGAACTAATCCCAGATATAGAGGTTTGTTTTGTCCTACTAACAGAGGTAATTCAATGCTAAAGCGTCGGGACCTAAGCATGAGTTCCAGCTATGGAGGTTTCTCACTTATCCAGGTCCCACTTAACCAAGTTTTACTGTATTACCGATTTCATAACTGTTGCAGTCGCCATGTGGTAACAAAAATCTTTCTATAATATATGTCAAATAACTGATTTTAGTTATTCATTATACATAAAAAACAATTCATCTTCGAGTCTATAAGTATGCATCTGTTAAGATCAATACGGTTTTCATTTAGCTGTTGTCATTACCATAGCTATAATAAACCCAAGTGTATTTTTAGTTATGAGTTCATAAACGGCCGAATTTAAGCCATGTGTCGATTCCTCGGAATCATTTCATAGATTTGATATATCTACCTAACTATATTACAGCGCGATGTCTCATTTTCGGCACATTTTGTTTTTATAGCCGCTTCTATCGTCGTAACAGCGCACTAAAACTTCAATTTAGGAGCATGATTTATATTTTTATTTCTTTACAGTTACAGCCTATTAAGGCTCACTGCTGAACATAGGCGTCACCCATACGCTTGGCAAGCGGGTTGGCAACTTTAGTTTATTTCTAGTCGTTATTAAGAAGACGCTGCTGCCCATCTCCTGATTTGTTTCCCTCTGTTGCCTTTTACGACACCCACGGGACGATATGGGATAGTGGATATTCTTAAACGGCCATTACACGGTAAACGGTTTTTATTTCTTTATCGGCCGGTAAAATTCCCGTAACGGGTATGGGCCTCTCCAGTTGTAGGAAGGATTTGTTCTTATCGTAATGCTTGTCAGGTGTATTGACGATCTCGGATCACGTTGGAGGTCTCGCACCTTTGAAGCTGGTGCTTGTTGCCGGTCTGGGTCTGGTCTCGGAATCCTTAAGATTTTTCTGTTATATCCCATAATCGCCTCTTACAACATCCATCCATCCGTGGATGTTGTAAGAGGCGATTATAGAACCAATAAAGTTCTTTAGAACTTTATTGGTTCTCTTGTACTGCTACCATACGGACAATGATTTATATTTCAAGTTATTTATGCGTCCCGGGTCATATCATGAGGTACCAAGTTCGAATCCCGGGTCGGGCCAAAAACAACAGTTATTGTTTTACCGTCAAGAAATTCTTAGTAGCTGCTCAGTGTCAGGAAGCTCAGTGCTTCGGAAAGCACGTAAAGCCGTTGGTCTCCGTTGAGGCTAGCTGCCGCACTATGGGAAAGCCCCATACAAAGCAAGCCATCTAGTAACTGTTTTTAACGAAAGCCGATGTCGAGATATTTATTGGATTAATATCTTCACAAAAAATTGCACTTATTTGCACCTTTTTTGATAATCAATTGTTTTCAAAAACTTTTATTTCTTTATAAAATGGCATAGATGATGGTGTATTTATAAATCGATTGAAATATGTTAAATATAGTTCTCAATACCTAATTTACCTGTGGTCAAAAAATATGTCTTGAATTTGATAACTATTTTGGTCAAATTTTAATTTTGAGTCAAAATTTTTATTTTTAACTCAAAAATTTTTTTTTTCCAATAAAGACCCTATATATCCAGGTATACGTATGTAAAATTACAGCTTAATTGATTTTGAAACAACTGAAATACGACGTTTTGAGGCGAAACACACTCGGTTTTTCCATAGTGCGCCGTGATCGAAATTCGGTCTGGAGGACATTATAATTTATAGGTTCTAAAAGTGTTTTTAACTTCACTTATGTCATTTTTGCCTACTGCCGTGTAGTGGCGGTTAAGAATATCCACTACCCCATATCTTCCCGTGGGTGTCGTAAAAGGCGACAAAGGGAAACAGGCAGGAGATGGGCAGCAGCATCTTCCTGATAATAGCCAAAATAACAATAAAAAAACTGCGGTTGCCAACCCGCTCGCCAAGCGTGGCAACTATGGCAATATACCCCCCATGAGCAATGACAATAATAAACGGCCCCCAGTCCCCGGCGGCCCCGCTATTCCTGGCTACGGTGGCGACCATGGTAACGGCGGGGCAGGGGGTGCTAAGAATCTCCGGTGGAGGTTCGGTTGCCACCTTAGACGACTCGACCTGGCAACGTACAACGCACGCACCCTGAGGACTGACGAGAAGATTGTGGAGCTGGAAGAAGAGATAGACAAGTTACGCTGGCATATTATAGGATTATCCGAAGTCCGAAGAGAGGGGGAGGACACGGTAATCCTCGAATCCGGCAACTTGTTCTATTACCGGGAGGGCGACCATCTGTCCCAAGGAGGTGTCGGATTTATCGTCCACAAGTCTCTCGTTAACAACGTTGTAAAGATTGAGAGTGTGTCGACGAGGGTTGCGTACCTTATACTCAGAATCACCAAACGGTATTCGCTGAAGGTCATACAGGTGTACGCACCAACCTCGGCACACCCCGATCAGGAGGTGGAGGAAATGTATGAGGATATCTCTAGAGCCATGCATTCCTCCAAAACCCAATATACGGTGTTAATGGGAGATTTCAATGCAAAACTAGGCACAAGAGAGAACGGTGAGCTGAAAGTAGGGAAATTTGGAATAGGGCAACGGAACCCAAGGGGCCAGCAGCTGGCCGACTTCATGGAGAAAGAGGGACTCTTTATGATGAACTCTTTCTTCCAGAAGCGGCCCCACAGGAAGTGGACCTGGTCGAGCCCCGACGGTTCGACAAAAAATGAGTTTGACTTCATTATGACGACCAGACGACAACTGTTCAGTGATGTCTCAGTGATCGCGAGGGTGAAAACCGGCAGCGATCACCGAATGGTTAGAGGCACACTGAACCTAAACGTTAAGTTGGAGAGGTCTCGTCTAATGAAGTCAACGCTCCGTCCCCCTCGTGCTCTTTTCCAAAGTCCCGAAACCTTTCAGCTCGAGTTACAAAACCGTTTTCAGTGCCTAGAAGACTGCAATGAAGTGGACGATTTGAATGACAAGCTCGTGGAAACTGTCCATGCGGTCGGAGCTAAGTTGTGCAAGACCCGCCGCAGAAGAACACAAAAACTCTCCGATCACACTCTTAATCTCATGGCTGTTAGACGGGAGATGAAGCTACATTCTTCAACAGATTTAACAGCATACAGGCAACTGAACAGACAGATCTCCAAATGCATGCGGCGGGACTTACGCAAATTCAATACAGCTCGTATTGAAGAAGCGATTGAGCGGAACCAAGGCTCCAAAGTCTTTGCCAGAGATCTGTCTGCCAGAAAGCGCCAACTGTCAAAGCTGAAGACAGAATGTGGCAGCATCGTTTCCGGGGCACCTGAGATTTTGAGTGAGATTGAGAGGTTCTATGGGCAGCTGTACACGTCATCGTTGGAGCCGCACGCAAGTGTGAGTAACGATCCAAGAGCGAGTCTTATCCGACATTATTCCGATGATATCCCGGACGTCAGTCTGAGCGAGATTAGAATGGCTCTCCAGCACCTTAAAAACGGCAAGGCCCCAGGCGAGGATGGAATTACAGCGGAGCTTCTGAAAGCGGGTGGAAGACCGGTACTTGAAGTCCTTCAGAAGCTCTTCAATTCCGTCCTCCATGGTGGCATTACACCGGAGGCGTGGAGCAGAAGTGCGGTGGTCTTGTTCTTCAAGAAAGGCGACAACGCTCTCTTGAAGAACTACAGACCGATTTCCCTTCTGAGCCGCGTCTACGTGCTGTTTTCGAGAGTCATTACGAATCGTCTCGCGCGCAGACTTGACGACTTCCAGCCTCCCGAACAAGCCGGTTTCCGAAAAGGCTTTAGCACCATAGACCACATACATACCCTTCGGCAAATTGTGCAGAAGTCCGAGGAGTACAATTTGCCACTATGTCTGGCGTATGTGGACTATGAGAAAGCCTTTGATTCCGTCGAAATTTGGGCGGTGCTGCAGTCCCTTCAGCGATGCCAAGTTGACTGTCGGTATATCGAAGTGTTGAAGTGCTTGTACAGTAGGGCTACGATGGCTATCCGAGTACAGAACCAGAGTACGAAACCTATCCAATTGCAGAGAGGTGTAAGACAGGGTGACGTCATATCCCCGAAACTCTTTACCGCTGCATTGGAAGATGTTTTCAAGCTTCTGGACTGGAAAGGATACGGTATCAACATCAATGGCGAGTACATCACTCACCTTCGATTTGCCGACGATATAGTCCTTATGGCAGAATCGCTGGAGGACCTAAGCACTATGCTCAATGACCTCAATAGTGTTTCCCAACGGATAGGTCTTAAGATGAACATGGACAAAACAAAGATCATGTTTAATGTCCATGTCACACCTATGCCGGTAGTTGTTGGGAACACTAAGCTCGAAGTTGTTGACGAGTATGTTTACTTGGGACAAATAGTCCGACTAGGTAAGTCCAACTTCGACCGAGAGGTCAATCGACGGATTCAACTCGGTTGGGCAGCGTTCGGGAAATTACGGCACATCTTCTCGTCAGGTATACCTCAAAACTTGAAAACGAGACTGTACACCCAGTGCGTGTTGCCAGTGATGACATACGGAACTGAGACGTGGTCCTTCACTGCTGGCCGGATGAGGAAGCTCAAGGTCGCTCAGCGAGCTATGGAGAGGGCTATGCTCGGAGTTTCTCTGCGTGATAAACTCAGAAATGAGGATATCCGCAGTAGAACTAGAGTGACCGACATAGCCCAACGGATTAGTAAGCTGAAGTGGCAATGGGCCGGCCATATAGCTCGAAGAACCGACAACCGATGGGGAAGAAAGGTTCTCGAGTGGCAGCCTCGTACTGGCAGGCGAAGTGTAGGGCGTCCCCCCACTAGATGGAGTGACGACCTGGTAAGATATGCAGGAAGTCGATGGATGCAGGTGGCTCAGGACCGTGCTTTGTGGCATTCTTTGGGGGAGGCCTATGTTCAGCAGTGGACTTGTGAAGGGCTGTAATGATGATGATGATGATGATGTCATTTTTTATTAAATTGGTCCTGATTTAGCAACAAATCCAAATATTGTAGAAGTATCATAGTCTTGAAAATAGAGATTTATTTAAGCCATTGATCATTAGCCATTAGTTGTAGACATGGTTTAGGTATGTTATGTTACAAATTCAACGCTTGTTCTCAGATTTAAAGCGCACAGCGTCTACAATCATCACCTCCTAACGCACTCTGAAGTGCGAGCTTACAAATGTCCTTACTGCCCCAAGGCTTTTAAAACATCAGTGCAACTCGCCGGTCATAAAAACTCACACACGAAGCCCTTCTCTTGCCAGCAGTGTAACAGGTAAGTCTAGGTAAGTGTTTTACTAATAGTGTGAAAGATGCAATGCAGTATCAAGATAGTAATTTAAAAAAAAACTTCTCTAGTGTTCTCTCTTAGCCCGTAAACATAGTAGGTAGGGAGAGAAAATTAAAAATATTACTTTTTGAAGTTATACTTCTTTTGGGGCGTTTGGGAAAAATGATGAGAGAAAATTTTTACGATGCGCACGCACACCGAAACCTAAAATCGACAACTTCAGTTGGTAATTGTCTGTCAACTGTCAAGTTTTCGTGAGAATTGATAACTATATTCAAGGAAATTATTCAAATATATATGAATCTATTATATTTGTTTTATTGTAGTTATTTTTGTGTTGTTACGGTAAAGAAGTATAACTTACGTATGTACATAAGCACACAAGTTTTTTTTTTCTTTAATTTAGGAACACACTTAAATTGATATAATAAACGGAACCCATAATAAAATCGTTATTTAATTTTCAATCTTATTGTTATTCCCTCTCGAAGTTTCGGGTGCATTTTATAAAGGCAGTGAAATAACGCACTAGAGCAATATGGGGACGAATGTCATTTTAATAAAACTGTAGAGAAAGATCAATTCGAACTGAAACTAGTACTAGTTTAGGCATACGCCTTATTAAATACGTCGAATCGGTGAAAGCAATTATTAATGTTTCTAAAGTAAAAATTCTTAATTATTTCAATTATTCAATTCATTAAGTATATCATCATCATCATTACAGCCTTTCATAAGTCCACTGCTGAACATAGGCCTCCCCCAAGGAATGCCGCAAAGCACGGTCCTGAGCCACCTGCATCCATCGACTTCCTACATGTCTTACCAGGTCGTCACTCCATCTCGTGGGGGGTCGCCCTACACTTCGCCTACCGGTACGAGGCTGCCACTCAAGAACCTTTCTTCCCCATCGGTTGTCGGTTCTTCGAGCTATATGGCCGGCCCACTGCCATTTCAGCTTACTAATCCGTTGGGCTATGTCGGTTCTACTGCGGATATCCTCATTTCTAAGTTTATCACGCAGAGAAACTCCGAGCATAGCCCTCTCCATAGCTCGCTGGGCGACCTTGAGCTTCCTCATACGGTCAGCAGTGAAGGACCACGTCTCAGATCCGTAAGTCATCACTGGCAACACGCACTGATTGTACCTAGTCAGGTCATAAGTATCGTCACACAGTAAAAACTTTTCTTTTAGAATGCTGGCCACAAAAAAGTTTATTGAATTCGAATTTCGAATTGTTCATGAAAATAAAACTGTATATTTTTATATTTTTAGAATTTTACTCATTTTTAAATATGGAGTGAAAGCTTAAAGAAGACCGTGTTGCAGTAATTGCGTTGCATCGTTGCGGTTACGCGCCAATTCAAATTTTTGACATACTGAAAAATTTGAATATAACCAAAAGATTCGTTTATCGTACCATCAAACGATACAATGAAGACTCTAGTGTAGATGACAGGTCAAGAAGTAGTCGCCCTCGGTCTGTTAGGACTCCAGCAGTGATAAAAGCTGTGAAGCCGCGAATTCAAAGAAATCCCAAACGTAAGCAGAAACTGTTAGCCCTTCAGATGGGGTTAAGCAGAACCACGGTGAAAAGGGTGTTAAATGAAGACTTAGGGCTTCGGGCATATCGAAGAAAAATAGGACATCGTTTGAATGCTAGTCTAATGGACCTGAGACTGAAGAGATGCCGCGCTTTGTTGAAGCGGTACGCGGGAAAAAAATATCGGGAAATTCTTTTTTCGGATGAAAAAATTTTTACCGTAGAAGAGAGCTACAACAAACAAAATGATAAGGTGTACGCACACAGTAGTGAAGAAGCGAGCAACCGTATTCCGCGTGTCGAACGAGGTCATTTTCCATCCTCGCTCATGGTATGGTTGGGAGTTTCTTATTGGGGCTTAACAGGGGTACATTTTTGTGAGAAAGGTGTAAAAACGAATGCAGTTGTGTATCATAATACAGTTCTGACGAACCTTGTGGAACCTGTTTCTCATACCATGTTCAATAACAGGCACTGGGTATTCCAACAAGATTCGGCGCCAGCTCATAGAGCGAAGAGCACACAAGACTGGCTGGCGGAGCGTGAAATCGACTTCATCCGGCACGAAGACTGGCCCTCCTCCAGTCCAGATTTGAATCCGTTAGATTACAAGATATGGCAACACTTGGAGGAAAAGGCGTGCTCAAAGCCTCATCCCAATTTGGAGTCACTCAAGACATCCTTGATTAAGGCAGCCGCCGATATTGACATGGACCTCGTTCGTGCTGCGATAGACGACTGGCCACGCAGATTGAAGGCCTGTATTCAAAATCACGGAGGTCATTTTAAATAAACTTTAGTGTCATAAGAATCTATGTTTTGTTAAGTTAATTTTGGTATATAAATGGTTACATAATGAATAAACTTGTTTCAATTATTTTATATTAAACATGTGACAGAATTTATGACCTGACTAGGTATAATTTCGTTTTAAGGTTTTGAGGAATGTCTGACGAGAAGATGTGTCGTAGTTTCCCGAACGCTGCCCAGCCGAGTTGAATCCGTCGATTGACCTCTCGGTCAAAGTTGGACTTACCTAGTCGTACTATTTGTCCCAGGTAAACATACTCGTCAACAACTTCGACCTTAGTGCTCCCAACAACTACCGGCATAGCTGTGACATGGACATTGAACATAATCTTTGTTTTGTCCATGTTCATCTTAAGACCTATCCGTTGGGAGACACTATTGAGGTCATTGAGCATTGTGCTTAGATCCTCCAGCGATTCTGCCATAAGGACTATATCGTCGGCAAATCGAAGGTGAGTGATGTACTCGCCATTGATGTTAATAGCGTATCCTTTCCAGTCCAGAAGCTTGAAAACGTCTTCCAATGCAGCGGTGAAGAGTTTCGGGGAAATAACGTCACCCTGTCTTACACCTCTCTGCAATTGGATAGGTTTCGTACTCTGGTTCTGTATTCGGATAGCCATCGTAGCCCTACTGTACGAGCACTTCAGCACTTCGATATACCGACAGTCAACTTGGCACCGCTGAAGGTACTGCAGCACCGCCCAAATTTCGACGGAATCAAAGGCTTTCTCATAGACCACATACGCCAGGCATAGTGGCAAATTGTACTCCTCGGACTTCTGTACAACTTGCCGAAGGGTATGTATGTGGTCTATGGTGCTAAAGCCCTTTCGGAAACCGGCTTGTTCGGGAGGCTGGAAGTCGTCAAGTCTGCGCGCGAGACGATTCGTAATGACTCTCGAAAACAGCACGTAGACGCGGCTCAGAAGGGAAATCGGTCTATAGTTCTTCAAGAGAGCGTTGTCACCTTCCTTGAAGAACAAGACCACCGCACTTCTGCTCCACGCCTCCGGTGTAAAGCCACCATGGAGGACGGAATTAAAGAGCTTCTGAAGGACTTCAAGTACCGGTTTTCCACCCGCTTTCAGAAGCTCCGCTGTAATTCCATCCTCGCCTGGGGCCTTGCCGTTTTTAAGATGCTGGAGAGCCATTCTAATCTCGCTCAGACTGACGTCCGGGATATCTTCGGAATAGTGTCAGATAAGACTCGCTCTTGGATCGTTACTCACACTTGCGTGTGGCTCCAACGATGACGTGTACAGCTGCCCATAGAACCTCTCAATCTCACTCAAAATCTCAGGTGCCCCGGAAACGATGCTGCCACACTCGGTCCTCAGCTTTGACAGTTGGCTCTTTCTGGCAGACAGATCTCTGGCAAAAACTTTGGAGCCTTGGTTCCGCTCGATCGTTTCTTCAATACAAGCTGTATTGAAGTTGCGTAAGTCCCGCCGCATGCATTTGGAGATCTGTCTGTTCAGTTGCCTGTATACTGTCAAATCTGTTGAAGAATGTAGCTTCATCTCCCGTCTAACAGCCATGAGATTAAGAGTGTGACCGGAGAGTTTTTGTGTTCTTCTGCGGTGGGTGTTGCAGAACTTAGCTCTGACCGCATGGACATTTTCCACGAGCTTGTCGTTCATATCGTCCACTTCATTGCAGTTTTCTAGGCACTGAAAACGGTTTTGTATCTCGAGCTGAAAGTTTTCAGCGCTTTGGAACAGAGCACGAGGGGGACGGAGCGTTGACTTCATTAGACGAGACCTCTCCAACTTAACGTTTAGGTTCAGTGTGCCTCTAACCATTCGGTGATCGCTACCAGTTTTCACATCACTGAACAGTTGTCGTCTGGTCGTCATAATGAAGTCAATCTCATTTTTTGTCGAACCGTCGGGGCTCGACTAGGTCCACTTCCTGTGGGGCCGCTTCTGGAAGAAAGAGTTCATCATAAAGAGTCCCTCTTTCTCCATGAAGTCGGCCAGCTGCTGGCCCCGTGGGTTCCGTTACCCTATTCCAAATTTCCCTACTTTCAGCTCAACGTTCTCTCTTGTGCCTAGTTTTGCATTGAAGTCTCTCATTAACACCGTATATTGGGTTTTGGAAGAATGCATGGCTCTAGAGATATCCTCATACATTTCCTCCACCTCCTCATCGGGGTGTGCCGAGGTTGGTGCGTAAACCTGTATGACCTTCAGCGAATACCGTTTGGTGATTCTGAGTATAAGGTACGCAGCCCTCATCGACACACTTTCGATCTTTACGTTGTTAACGAGAGACTTGTGGACGATAAATCCGACACGTCCTTGGGACAGATGGTCACCCTCCCGGTGATAAAGCAAGTTGTCGGATTCGAGGATTACCGTGTCCTCCCCCTCTCTTCGGACTTCGGATAATCCTATAATATGCCAGCGTAACTTGTCTATCTTCTCTTCCAGCTCCACGATCTTCTCGTCAGTCCTCAGGGTGCGTGCGTTGTATGTTGCCAGGTCTAGTTGTCTAAGGTGGCAACCGAACCTCCACCGAGGATTCTTAGCACCCACTGCCCCGCCGTTACCATGGTCGCCACCGTAGCCAGGAATAGCGGGGCCGCCGGGGACTGGGGGGCCGTCTCTTTGTTACACTCTTCATAGGGGGGTATTTGCCATAGTTGCCACGCTTGGCGAGCGGGTTGGCAACTGCAGTTTTTTTTTATTGTAATTTCGGCTACTATCAGGAAGATGCTGCTGCCCATCTCCTGCCTGTTTCCCTTTGTCGCCTTTTACGACACCCACGGGAAGATATGGGGTAGTGGATATTCTTGACCGCCACTACACGGCTAATTTCATCATTCAGTAAGTATATAATATACGTTATCTATCACCAAATTCCTTTCACTATAATAGCCCGATAGGGTTCAGTATATTATGTCGATCGCATATCGCATTGATTGAGACTAACAGTCTTAGGTTAGAATTTAAGTTGAAGAAAACATTTTTGCGGAAACACAAATAGTTGTTTATCGATTTGAGATAGCTCCAATCTTATAAAAGCATTCCTCTAAACATGGATAGGCTAGAACATATAATTCAGAGAAACTGGTGATTGCCTCAGTACTTGCATTTAGAATAAGGTAATGTTACGTATCTGGCAGATAAACATTTTTACTAATACCTGCAGTAGACGGCATGGTAGGCATAATCTAGACTTGTGTAAGATAAGTTATCTTTCATTCCTTTGTTGTCTCGTATAAACCAAATGAATGGTAGGTTCTTATTCACTATAGTCTAAAAAAAGGCCTATATGTTACGATAGACTCAGTTCAGTCTCGTTAGAAAAGGAACCCAACAAACTTCATCCGTATCCCGCGACTTATGTGGAATTCTTTATTAAAAGGAAATAGGCGTTTAACTTAATCTGATGAAAGCGAAAATAACTCATATTGGCAGGCCGTTCGCGTCGTTGTACGCAGTACGAGTGCACACCGAAATCCACTCACGGCAGAACAGTCTCAAGTTTTCGTGCTCGCTGTGCGGCGCAAGTTACGCGCGCGCTTTCGCCCTAAAGGATCACATCAAGCAAGCCCACAAAGATGCCACCGAGGAGAGCTTGGTGAGTAACATCTGAAGGCTTAAATTATTAAAAGTTTAGTGTATAAACAATATATAATGTGTGACAGTGTGAGAACTTGCTCTCTTGCTTATGCAATTAATCATTATCTCTACATAGTATAAAACAAAGTCGCTTCCCGCCGTCTGTACGCGGGAGATATAGATCTTTTAAACTACGCAACGGATTTTGATACGGTTTTCATCAATAGACAGAATGATTCAAAAGGAAGGTTTATATGTATAATACATGCATATTATATAATTCTTCTGTCCGTGTGCATGTGACTATTTATTTTCTATGATGTAAATGCTATTAGCCTATGTGGCTTTCACAGTTTCATCTGACATAGGCTGTGAGCTATTGTGTATGTGACTGAACTTCTAAACGGCTGGACCGATTTTGATAAAATTTTGTGTGTGATTAAGTTGATTAAAGAATGGTTTAGATTCACAATTGGACCCGGTAAGTGGCGTTGTTGTTGAGATCCAGAAATCAACGTTGCGAAGTCGGAGCGAATTGCTAGTCGGCAATAAAACTGCGTAATGCACTACATATTCAGCGTAACGCACTACTCATTCAGCGTAGCGCTATGCAATCCTACAATACGGTAATACATGTCAGTCACAAACACACATGTATGTAGTGTAACGTGATGATCGTACTCACATTATAACACCAAAATAAATTAAGTATGCAAACCAAGAGCAACACTGCTTACCACGATGTACACTGGAGAGCTTCTCCGTTGAATACTCTGCTATTTCTTCTAGGGGAATAATCACAACGGACAGTATCACTATACACAAGATAACCGATTGAATGACTTAAAAGGAATGAGCCTGCACGTCGCCTGCATCGCGTTTTTATAATAAATAAAATATATAATAAAGACTGGTCTTACAAGAAGTTTCGACTTCCAACCTCACTTTTATTTCTCTTTTTATCTTTTACCGCCTTTATATATGACGTAGAATAACGCATTAGAGCAATCGAGATTATAAATATATTAATATTTAAAATTCGAAATTGTAATGTTTAAAAATTGGTCTAAACTTTAGATCAATTTTTAAGAGTAGACTTGTCAAGGTAATTATTTAAATATGTTTTCACACTATGTATGTATGTATGTATGTATGTATGTATGTATATATGTATGTATGTGACTGACATAGCCCAACTTAGTAAGCTGAAGTGGCAATGGGCCGGCCATTTAACCCAAATTACCGACAACCAATGGGGAAGAAAGGTTCTCGAGTGGCGGACGAAGTGTAGGGCGTCCCCCCACTAGATGGAGTGACGACCTGGTAAGATATGCAGGAAGTCGATGGATGCAGGTGGCTCAGGACCGTGCTTTGTGGCATTCCTTGGAGGAGGCCTATGTTCAGCAGTGGACTTGTGAAGGGCTGTAATGATGATGATGATGACTATGTATGTATTTCCAAAGATTTCTTTAAGAGCCGAATAAGACTACGTAAATGTTTTTATCGTAGTTCCAATGTAACATTTAATAATTTCACAACATTAATTTTGAAAAACATAAGTTTGACTTTTACCCTAGCATGCTATGTGTATATAATTTTTATTATTTTTATATATTAGCAGGCTGACTTCAAAGAAGATGAATGGAATTCACGCGATGACGATGCAAACGAAGAAGAAATGAACGATCTTGACAAAGATTTACCACATGTGGTGAGGTTCTTTCGCATTATTTGTTGAATTATATAATATTATATATTTTATTTTATACTTCTGTTTCTTTAATTTAAAAATGTGTACAGTTTTTTTAGCCACTTACCGTCAGGTAGACAGTTAGTTCGTTTGTGACTTCAATTTTATAAAAAAAAGTACATTGTTGTTACAATTGTTATAACTAAAAGTATAATATGTCATACATAGTATTATGTAACAGATTCCGCATGAACGAAACTATCGATCCAACTCATCCTGTGAGTGATGTAAAAGACAACTTGCGGAAAGACCCAGGTGATTTTTATATATATGCTATATATATGGTTTATAGTGGTGTGGCGGCGCTGTCGTCGCGCCACAAGCGAAACACATCGAAGCATAAATCGCGCTAACAAAGTTCCGAAATTATAGCAGTATATATAGAATAGCTCCGAATTACCACTGGGAGCGTTGGCAACTCCCCGGGCAGAACACCTTGCCTGGCGGGAGATCTCCCCTTTTCCTTCCACCCGCCACAGTGATGACCCCGACCTATTCTGCTCGGGGAGCTGCCAACGCTCCCAGTGGTAGTTCGGAGCTATTCTATACATAATGCTATACTTGCAGTGTATATAGCAATATAATAATCCTGTATTGATCCCAGATATGTATATCTACGAGAAGCAGCGTCAAAAGTGCGAGGCGAATGGTAGTGAGACCGACCAATGCGCCTGCCAAGCGTGTTCAGGGGCCATTCATTAATTACGTAAGGGTGCCAAGGGGGAGGAGGGGTTAAAAAATCTACATGCCATTATCCTGGAGGGAGAGGAATAAAACCCAATCTTGCATAATATTTTGTAAGTCGAAATTTAATATTAGAAATCTAGTTCCATTTCCGATGCCGAATGCCGTATGCCGTTTTCTTCATTATTCAATAATGTACACTTCAATTTTCGTATTATTTTACAAATTTTTATTGTGTATTAAAATTTTAAAATCTTTAATGTGTTTATTTTTACCCATTTTAAATGTTATAAATAATAATTAACATTATTTCATAACTTTAAAAATCCCGCGTGCTTTACATGTTGTAGTTGTCTAATAATAATATAATGGTAATCTATATCTGATAGCATTATAAGAGTATAACCTGAATTGTCTGTTAAAAAATAAAAATAAATTTTTATTTACGTCAAACTTTTTTTTTATAGGATAGGGTGACAAACGACCACACAGTCCACCTGATGGTAAGTGGTTGCTGCGGCCCATAGACATCTACATTTATTCTCAATAAAGAATCAAAATGCAGATGCGTCGTCACCCGTGAGGACTAAGATGGAATGCCTCTTTTCCAGTAAAATGGGTCTCCGGTTCTCTACACTCACCATACGAAACACAGCAGTGTCAAGCTGCTATTTTAGGCAGGTATTCTGTGAGAGCGTGGTCCTTCCCCGGTCGAGCCGACCCATTCGTGCTAAAACTATACTACTAATATAGCTGCAGCATGGCTCTACCACGTAAAAATAAAAAAAAACTGTGAGTTTTAGTGTAACTAATGCTTTTCTAGCACCATTTTATTATTCTGAAAAACGAGATGGAATCCTACGTAAGAAGAGGGGTCGAGAAATCTTATGTACTCTTACATGGGGGTAGGGGGGGGGGGGGGTCAAAAATCACCAAAATCATCCTTACGTAATTAATGAATGGCCCCTAATAAGTCAGCCCATGTCTGCAAATTAAGTGTCCAGTAAAAGAGAGAGAGAAAGAAAATGATATGAAAAATTAATGACTTGGCCTAAAGTATCTTTTATTATACAATAGCGTCACGGCTCGGCTTCGCCCGTGTAAAATTTTATTTATGCAGTAATATACTTAATAAATAATGATAAAGCGTCGGCGACAATTTTTTTCCCGAGTTGATTCACTAGTAATACCGTTACTGCTTAACTCCTTTAAGAGCTAAACCAATTTCCAATAAACAAATTTTCCTTAAAAGATGCAAATCACAGCATGAAAAACCGCACGCTTTCTCTCAAAATCGTTTTCTAATTCGATTAAAACTGACGTTCTTTCGAATACGGTTTTAAGCGTTAGTCCTAAACCAATTCGAATAGAAAAATACGATCTAATAACGTTCAAGTTACGATCAAGCGTTATCCGCGCCGATAGGCTCAGTCTTTAATAAACTACTTAAATATTTATAAGAAAAACAGAGGATAAGAGTATTAAGAAAAGCGTTCTCGTCGCTTGCTATTACGGGCGCCATCTTGTGTTGGACAGCAGAAATCTTGTATTCTGATAATTCCAATTTGGACCACCGTTTCTGCGCTACTTTCGGTTTTGAGTGCATTCATGTGTATGTTCTTACTCTTAAAGTTTTGAGAGTACCTAGAGTTCGAATAAAATTCGATTAATCCAGAACTCGATTCTATCGGGAGTGGCCAGCTGCACGCAAATTCGTTCACTGAACGATGTTCAGAGTTCGTGATCCTACAGAAGGATAGACGCTCCTTTTTATGTATAGATACTATATGTGAAATTGTAGACTTAAATATTATTAATCAAGTGTATGAAGCTGTACTCGGTGTACCCATGTTTATTAAAAAATGTCCCGCTGGGTTTCTTGCTGGCTATTTTTTGCCTTGCCTTGCCTGCTGACAGAGGAATTTTCCAAACCAGTGGTAAATTAAACATAAGAATAACTTTCAATAAGTATTATTTATAATCTATTTTGAATAAAATAATTTCTATATTTATTGTAGTATAATTTTCACTGAAAGTACGCGAGCCACTTGGGTCTGACTTCCGCCACGTCGGCATCAATGACATTGTTAATTGCAATTTTAAGTGCTGTTTTACCACGTGCTGTGTGATGACGGAAAACACAGTAAGGAAGGGTTCCTTATATAATATCTGATGAATAAATGTTATTCGAGAACATGTGAAGTTGTCCAACATACACACGAAAAGCGTGGCAGACTAATTGATCTGTAACCCTCTCCGAAATGCTCCTTTCACTACCTGTACTAGCTGCTAGCTAGAAACGAGACATTCCATCGTAGTCCTGACGGGTGACAACAATCTGCATTTTGATTGTATTAGATGTAGATTTCTATGGGCCACTGCATTCACTTATCAACGACTTTGTGCTCGTTTGTCATCCTTATTCTATTTAAAAAAAAACTACATTTTACTTCAAAGAGACTGTCTGTAAATTTACTTTGACGTACGGAAATATGATATAGATTTCATTAAAATCATTGCCCAATAACTATACTATACTACACTATTGTCAATTACAATAGTGTAGCTATTATTTATTATATACGTAGTTTGCCGTAAAGTTTAAAGTGTAACTCTGCATCGTACTTCCGAGAAAACGGGATGAAAATGACAGAGAACGCGCTTGTAGTTATAAATGCATCGCACGACGTATAAATTGTAGCCGGCATCCGTAGTCGTGTTATTGTTATATATTTAAAAATATGCGTAATTCTTTCTGTGTAAAACTGACACTGCCATTTGATTGTTACAGATAACCGCAATGGAATCAAATTCAAACGAGATGATTATACCTTAGCCGTAGCTGAATTATTGTTGTAAAAAAGTAAAGTAATAAATATACACTATGTATTAATTTTAGATTATTTTTAACATTGTTATTCTTATTTGTTTATAACTGGCCTACACCATCACTAATTATTCGTATATGGATAAGGAAGGGAAAAGGGGAGAGAGAGAGTGAGTGAAAGATAGAGGATTGTATATACCTAACAGTGAGGATATTTACTTCTGTGCCAATGAACTAGAAAACTCTTAATAAAACATGATTGCAAACATAAGTTTTTATATAATTATTTATATTTTTTTTATATTGTATAAGTAAAGTTAATAAAAAAACGTTATGGTTTGCATACATACTTATTTTGATTATTTATATTTTTTAAAGTTAGCGCAGTTAATGTATTTGTCCTCTGTCAAGTTTGGTTTTGTTAAAAATTTAAATAAATTATTGGCGATCGAGGTAAGACAGGAAATTTGAATAAAAGGTACAGAAAATAGATACAAGTTTTTTGTAATTATAGTGTTAAGGGCATTGATATCAAGTGATCATGTTAATAAATACTTTGTCAGTAAATGAATTATGAAACTAAATATATTGTTTCACTTATTTGAAAAAAAAACGTAATTATAACAAATGGTAAAATTAAATATTTTGTACCACCGACTTCAATATAAATGAAATAAGAACATCTTCAATGTAATCGGCAAGTAAAAGTCAATTAAACACGTATTATTAAGGATAACTCAAAAACCACTGGTCAGATCTTGATCAAATTAAATTAGGACTTCATAAGAAGCACCAGGTTTGAAATGAAAAAAGAATCATCAAAATCGGTTCACCTATAAAAAAATTCTGAGTTAACACACAAAAATATACAGTCGAATTGAGAACCTCCTCCTGTTTTTGAGGTCTGTTGAAAATTTGTAAGATTTATTTAAGGCCATATAACTATAACTAGATGACAATAAAAAGAAAGTAGGTACGTTAGGTATAGGTTAAAACATAAGTTAATAGCCTAAATTCAATTAACTTTTAGAAAACTGGAATTATTTTGACTAGGGTTCCATTCCCACAAGATACCTTCATAATTTCGTAAGTACTGGAGTGGCGAGCATTCCTAATAAACTGACAGTATCATAACTTCTATAAGCATTTTTTATGGCATTAACATTAGTAAGTAAAATAAAAGTTATTTTCCCTATAAGGTGGAGACGTTTTGCATACATAAATTTCACATAGCGAATGCATTGAGTTGTGTATCGCTAGCAACGCAAAGTCGGGAATTTGCATTTGGAAACATCCAAAATTAGGGGCTTTTTAGGTGCTAATTAGGTGCCAAGTTTAAAAATTAGGTGCTCTAAAATTTTCACCGAAGCGAACTGTTGAAATTTGCGTTGCTAGCAAAAAGTCTCGCTAGCAATGCAATGAAGTTATTAGATTGATGAGATTATTTCCATACGATGGAAGCAATCATTGAAGCAACCATTCCATTCAGAATTTGGGGTCTCCAAAATGGCCGTTTTGTAGGCGTCCACAGCTTCTTCAGGTGATGAAAATCTCTGTCCACGCAATTTATTCTTTATTTTAGGGAAAGTATAGAAATCATTAGGGCTTAGGTCGGGGCTGTTCGGCGGATGGTCTAATAATTCTATGTTTTCTTGCTCTAAAAACTCTTTTGTTCTGTGTGCGGTATGAGAACTCGCATTGTCGTGATGGAGGATGATGCGGCGGTTGCAGTTCTCTTTACGGAGTTCAGAAACGACCTGTGGCAAACAAATGCTAGCATACCATTCTGCATTAACCGTTCTTTGTCCCTCAAGAGGAATAGTCGTAACATGGCCGGTTTTGGAGACAAACGTGGCCACCATTTTTTTTGCAACACTCCGTGAACGAACAATTTTTGTTGGCTTTAACTCATTTTCGAACACCCAAACTCGTGACTGGTTTTTTGTTTCGGGTTCCTACGCGTATATCCAGGATTCGTCACCAGATACGATGTTGTATACAGCATTTGAGGATCCTGCGTAGAATCTTTCGAGAGTTCTGACGCACCAAGTAACGCGAGCCGCTTTTTGCTCTTCACAAAGCGAATGCGGTATCCATCGGGAAAACAACTTTTTTACACCTAATTGTTCATGCAAGATTATTTGTATTTGACTCATGCCAATGTCTAAAGTTGCCTGAATTTCGCGGTATGTCACATGTCGATCTTCCTCAATCAGCTTACGCACAGCATCAACGTTTTCTTGGGTGACTGCAGTTTTTGGAAGACCTTGACGGGGATCAATTGTGGTTTTGGATGGGGCTTCATCACCAAATGCAGAAATAAAGCAGAAATCATCCGGTCAACACACTGTTTTTGTGTTAAACCAACGACTAAACAAGTTTGACAAAACCTTGTGACAAGACCGAGAATCTTTTTTTAAATAAATAAAAGGTATTCGATTTTTAAAACCAAGGAGTTTTCAATTAAAAAGATTTTAATATGACAGGAACAGTGGAAATATTCCATTCCCAATACTTTTAGTGCAGCCTATGTACGATAAATATTTATAAATATTTACATATATATATATGCCATAAAAATTATTCAGTTTAAGCGCCTCAGAATTTTTCGCTAATGGTGATAATATCACCACAAATGCTGGCTTGACATTAATTATTCTAAATAACTGCTATGCTACTTATTGTTTTCTCTTAGAATCCGTAGCTGCTTCTCTACTATTAGTAAGTTTATAATTACTTAAATACTGTACTGGCTGACCCGGCAAACGTAGTTTTGCCATATACATTATTTCTAGGAAATATTTTTTAGTTTTAAAAGTCGCGATTAACAGGGGTTGATCGTAGAAGGGTGAAAATTGGAAGTTTTATGTAATTTTCAATGCTAAATCATAATAAAATAAAATTTTAAAAATTTGTCAAAAAATATATATAGGGGTGGATCATCCTTATCATTTAGGGGTTTGAAAAATAGACGTTAGCCGATTCTCAGACCTACCCGATATGCACACAAAATTTCATACAAATCGGTTCAGCCGTTTCGGAGAAGTTTGGTAACAAACACCGCGACACGAGAATTTTATATATTAGATATGTTATTAATTACCTAAAAATAGTAAATAAATCTCTAAAGATTGACCCTATGATTATTATAATGTGTGGATAATAAAATGTGAGAATAAAATTATAAAATTTATTATTATTATTATAAAAAAATGTATGCGGTTTGGTGCGACACCTTAACCTAGCCTAATTATACGATTATAGAGTATATTAAATGAAATAAAGTATTAAAAGAAAATTGAAAATTCCTTGAAGTGAGAGTATGTGTATGATATATTGTGTATTCTATAAAAAAATGTGTATGCGCTACACAGTATGTGTGAATTGTGTGTAAGTGAAATGAGGATTCATGTGAACATAGCTTTTAGTGGATTCAACGACCACCGATGACGTCATAGTGTAACAATTAGCGTGCAAAGAGTTTTTTTTTTATATTAATTATTATAAATATTGCAAAAAATAATATTTTTGTTTTTTAATCAAATTATTAAGCAAATTGAGAGCAATTCTTTAAGGAAAAAAAATTAAAAAGAGATAGATATTTTATATTTTATAGGAAAATTATTTTTTTTAATTAATTATAAATTAACTAATAGTAGACTAAGAATAGACGAGGAGCAGCTACGAATTCTAAGAGAGCATTTGAGGAGCAATTAATAAGCATACAGTTTAATTTTAAAATATATTCTGCGCTAACTTCCTTCCATACACAATAGGCATGCAAAATGTTTTTGCTATAAAAAACAAAACGTCACTCAAATAAATTTGTTATGTCTACCGACAAATCAAAGAGAAATTAGATATAAACAAGTTTTATTTTCAATTTGGTCCATAAAATGTACAATATTACATTTACATTTTAATATCATTTTTGGTATACAGCTGTATGAACTTTATAGCTCATTTTTTGTATCTACCCGCTACTTGATTTATTAACTTTAAATCACAATTATTAAAGACATTTCTTATGCACTTACAAGAACTATCACAATGTGCAACTTAAATTTGATATTTATTACCCTAATATTTAAAACTTCTTTTTCTTACAAATTAATCAATTAACAATCTTAAAAAAATTATGGAATAAAAAGTCTTTTCAATCAATTATTGAGGCGCACTCTTTTAGAGGTATTATACCTAGAAGTTAACTCATATCACGTTTGACCATTTGTCCACTCGCCTTCCATTCTCCATACAGAGAAAGCGTAACTTAACTTATCCTGTGCCAAATACTTGCCGTGTTCACTGCCAGCATCGCTGCTACCATCGCTGTTAGCAGTAGACTCACTGTTCGAAAGAATTTGATACAGGAACTCTATGTACTGTGTCGCTAATTGGAGTGTTTGTATCTTAGAAAGTTTATCACTCGGCAAAGACGGTATGATCTGTCGCAAGCTAGCAAAAGCTTCGTTCAAACTCTGCGTTCTTTGCCTCTCCCTGACATTTGCCATCACTCGTTGCATTTGCATTTCTTCGAATGACTGACTTTTCTTTCTCGATGATTTCGATGAGCGCTTTCTTGACCTTCTCTGTTCATCGTTGTCGTCGCTACGCTCTTCAGTCGATGCTCGATACACAGTGTCTCCTACTTTCGACATGTCATTATTTTCATAGTAGGAGCTGCCTCGGTCTTGTGAATTGGAATCGTCGAAGTAGAACGTTCGTGACAATTGTCTTTGCCTTTGATCAGGAATATATAGCTGATCGTATGACGGATATTGGGGCTGCTGGTAGTCTCGGTCTTCGCTATCGAATATGACATTGGATGGCCAGGCTTGTTGTAGCGTCGGTCTTTCAGAGCCGTTACTTAAATCCATTAGATGGGTCGGTGATGATGGCGCGAATACTTGTGTTTCGTATTTTTTCACTTCAACGGGCACATAACGGTAGTACTCTTCGTCTTCCGGGCATTCGAGTTCTTCTTCGCGTTTAATGGGCACTATTCTTTCACAACTATCGTAGTTCATTGTTCCAGCTACGATCGGACACTGTGACACGTCGTGCAACATGAGCGCGCGGCGGACGCAGTCGCCTGCAGTTACTGACTGAGAGATCCTGAAGCGGTCCGCCCCTACCCGTCCCTACCCGTCCCTTCATTGACAAGACACAAAAAATAACCATCTCCACAGCGGTGCGGCATAGCGCCTCCCGCCCAGCGCGCCGCCTCCTACCCACGCATGTAGGGTAGCATGTGTGCGAAAAAGACAAGTATAGTAAAGCCATGTTGATCGTTTTCTGTTTATCTTGTCCATCATTTCACAACCGTATTTACTGTTACTACATAGAATTATAGATAGGTATTTATGTATGTATTTCGGACGCTATAACCGATCGCATCGGTGAACTCGCATCCTGCCAGACTCCGACATTATTGCACCATGGTAAAGCTAATCACTCACAGTGATTAATAGTTTTATCCGCTTATATTCCATTTTAGATCATCTAGATGATCTCCAAATAATAGATCGACGCGTAATATATTATGTAGATACTTTATCATGCCTGTATAGGTACCTACTTCATAAAATGGATAAATACCGAATGCAGCAATTCAAATCGTTTATACTTATTTGTTATATTCCTCGTATGACCTCCGAATATTATAACATCGTGTAGGTAACACGGCGCCACCCTTGCTTGAATTTTTTTTGTGTAGTCGCGTCGTCCTGACGCCCGGTTACTAAAAATATCTTTGACGCAATCGGACCACAAAGCTTGATCCCACGGGCGCATTGCGGCGTTGATGCCTTCTACTAAAATTATAAATATTTCTATTTATTTTATCTACGCTCCTTCAGGATAGCTGCGGCAGCCTGTTATGTGTACAGTTTTAAACGACTTGACGTTTTAACTGATCTGTTAGTCATCCTTCAAGATGTTTTAATAGCAGGTTAGCGGGTTTGTTTACAATAGGTCATTTTAATACACTATATGCCTATATTATCTTTATTTGTATATATGTATATTGGGTTGCCAAGCGTGGCAATTATGGCAAATATCCCCCGTATGAATTCTCGTCATATGTATAAAAGTAAAATTTTTTTTTATTCGTTAATATGCTGTCACCGGATTATATGACGGCGGGTTAAGCCGGCCATGGCTTAAAATATCAAACTGCCTCACTTGCTCACTCACTATTTCGCACCTAGCAATTGCCTGCCTACGATTAGTATTGAAAAATCAGCCAATCTGTGACAGAAAATTTCACATACTGCCTAGGGTTACATCGGAAATAGATATAGAGGTAGACGATTTTATTAAAATGGCGTCTTTAAGCTTTTATAATTTTTATAGAATTAGCACCAAATTGGATTTATTGGATTATTTTTTAAAAAATTAACAGAGTTCAATGCTTCATCAAATCTCTTTAAAATTTACATGCGATTATTTTGAAAGTATATGTATTTCGTGTTATCTTTATTATCGTTTAATAAAAAAATCAGCTTAGTTGGTTATTTTTAACCGACTGCAAAAAGGAGGAGGCTCTCAATTCGAGTGTATGTTTTTTTGTATGTTACGCGATTTGTCAGATTGTGAAACAATTTTGATGATTCTTATTTTTTTTAATAGGTTATACTTTAAAGGTGATCTTACATAAATTTGGAGAAAAAATTCAACCCCTAATGGTAGCAAATAAATAACTTATTTTAGCATATTGAAGTAGATTTTTACTTTTGGTTAAAAGTTATAATTATTAGTCTTTGAGATACATAAAAATAAACAGTATAATCGATAGCATCCTCCTTTTTTCCTTTTTTCGTCGGTTAAAATATGAATAATAATTTCTTTTTTGGTAGTTCGCGTCTGTAACCTGTCAATACTACGAGATATTGCTGTCTTCACGTAAAAGCATCTGTCCAAGGCGACATCCAACACTGGATCTGACGCTCTGTATACATTTCTAAAACACGATGTTATTATTAGAACGTAATTTATTCATTCCTATCTTATGTGTTATTGTTTACGTTATGTTGATACAAAGACCTCCACTAGTGTTTGTGGAATAATTGCACACATAATTTTTTTATTTTAGTTAATTTATCCAATACACACATAGACGAAATCAAGACAGGACAGGCTTCAAAATAATAATAAATACAATAAACTGTACTTAATTATTTTACTTCAGAATAATTTTAATTAAATAACAAAATGAAGAATTTCGTCTTTTAGCGAAACGACTTATGACTTCCTCCACTTGAATAGGCATGTTACCTATTCAAGTGGAGGAAGTCATACAAGTCGTTTTTGTTAACGTAAAAGTGCCAGACTAGTCTTCTGCCATTGACGGCCTATGCCCAGTTTTGAGCCTCCTAGAAAAGCAGCTCTCTGTCGTCGACACACTAACTGTTAGTTGTTATTTATTTTTAAAAAATCGTGATTTTTTTTAATGCGTTTCATCACAATATGTACTAATATAAAACAAAGTAGTTTACCGCCGTCTGTACGCTTAGATTTTTAAAATACGCAAAGGAATTGGCTACAATTTTCATCAATAGACAGAATGATTTCAGAGGAAAGTTTATATACATAATACATGCATGTTATCTATACAAATAAATAAAATTGAAGTGTCTGTTTGTAATGTCAAAATTACAGTTTTTTACTAAATGCATATGAAAGTAAATACGGTACCTATAACTAAAATACAATTTTTAAAATTTTTGTCTGTCTGTCTGTCTGTCTGTTTGTTCCGGGTAATCTCCGAAACGGCTGGACCGATTTTGACGGGACTTTCACTGGCAGATAGCTGATTTCATAAGGAGTAACTTAGGCTACTTTCATTTTAGAAAAAGAATTAGGGTTCCGCGCAAAAACATAAAAACCCTAACACGCGAACGAAATCGCGGGGAACAGCTAGTATAATATATAATTTTTCTGTCCGTGTGTATGCGACGAAACTCCTCCTAAACCGCTGGATCGATTATGATGAAATTTTGTGTGCGTGATTAAGTTGATTAGATTCGCAAATAGACCAGGTAGGTGGCGTTGTTGTCGTCATCCAAAAATCAACCGTGCGAAGCCGGGGCGGATCGCTAGTTTTGTAATAAATTAGAATTCGACTGCGGAATAAGTATTCTGATTCCGCTGCCATTTTACAATCCACAACCGGTATTGATTTGTAATTACTGACACTGGAGTGTTGTCTATTTTTTTTATAGGATAGGGTGACAAACGAGCACACAGTCCACCTGATGGTAAGTGGTTGCTGTGGCCCATAGACATCTACATCTGTCCTCGTTTGCGAATCAAAATGCAGATGCGTTGTCACCCGTGAGGACTAAGATGGAATGCCTCTTTTCCAGTAAAAAGGGTCTCCGGTTCTCTCACCATACGCAACACAGTAGTGTTAAGCTGCCATTTTACGCCGGTATTCCGTGAGAGCGCGATCCCTCCCCGGTCGAGCCGACCCATTCGTGCTACAACTATAGATACTACTAATATAACTGCAACATGGCTCTACCACGTATAAAACTATTACCAATTAATTATATAATTACCACTATTAGCAGTTTATAGTCGATCATTATATTATTAACAGTTTCAATGTCTTCATCATCATCATTATTACAGCCCTTCACAAGTCCACTGCTGAACATAGGCCTCCCCCAAGGAATGCCACAATTCACGGTCCTGAGCCACTTGCATTCCTCGACTTCCTGCATGTCGTACCAGGTCGTCACTCCATCTAATGGGGGGGGGCGCCATACACTTCTCCTACCGGCACCTACGAGGCTGTCACTCAAGAACCTTTCTTGCCCGTCGGTCGTCGGTTGTTCGAGCCATATATGGCCGGCCCATTGCCACTTCAACTTACTAATCAGATTTATGTCTTCATTAGTATAAACGACTTTCGGAATAAAAACGCCTGGTTGAAATAATTGCTCACTTCACGAGAAGCGGTCTTGTAGGTATGTATTACAGAATGTATGATAGGTGTTCGCTACGAAGCTATTTCTAACTAGCTGAATTTATTACGATTGGATTTGATGCGTTTTCATTTTCTTGCATGGAACCCTAATTAATTTCCTAAAATTAAAGTTAGTAGCCTAAGTTACTTAGCTATATGCCAGTGAAAATCCCGTCAAAATCGGTTCAACCGTTTCGGAGATTACCCGGAACAAACAGACAGACAGAAAAATTTAAAAATTGTAATTTTATTATAAGTTCCGTATATACTTTCATAATTCATATACAATCAGTAAAAAGCTGTTATTTTGACATTACAAACAGACACTTCAGTATTATTTATTTGTATAGATATGTTTTGTGTTGTTAACTGTGTAACATAAATGATTGTAAGCTGTTATTTAAAAAAAATCCCGCTGGGTTTCTTGCTGGTTCTTTCCAGGACAGGTTTTATTCCGAACCAGTGGTAATTAAACAAAAGAGTGACTTTCAATAAATATTATTTATAATCTATATTGAATAAAAAAGTTTCTGTTTCTGTTTCTTGGCTTTGCGCAAATATTACCTACTACTCATCCGATTGAGTTTGATTATTGGCTCTGTTTTCTACGTTTAGTTGTATGGCTATACTACTTCTTTTGCCTCTTCAAAAAATTTATTTATTCATTCATTTTATATTAAAATTCTTTATTTCACACCTTACAAAACATACAGAGATTATAAATACAAAAGAAGTATGCAATGGGCGCTCTTATTGCTGTCAGAAATTTCTTCCAGACAACCAGTGAACAGGATTGCATGAAGAATGACAGTTGTCAGAAAATAGTGTCCGCTTGTTTCCTTTTTTGTGGGAAGACACTCGTTGTATCAGTTATAGACCTTTTTAAATAAATTGTGCTAGTTTGCAATACTCTGCTCAAGAACATACAGTTGTACCTGAAAAATAAAATAAGTTATTTAAACAATAGTTCAGATCTTGACGCGATATTTATATAAGTTATTCAATTATTTCATGTAGGTATTTAGTACCTATAAATAACAATCAAAATATTTAGGT